TAGCAAACTATAAATAGATATGTTTGTAACTGACAAAACTGAATGTTTGCTGACTTTATGGCTCTTCTTTACTTGCATTGTAGGATTTATTGTTACCTTAATATAGCCAAATTAAAATGTGATATTCAATAGCAGTAAAACATTTTTTTCCCAATTCAGTACAGCTGCAGCTTCGCTTGGTCTGGTATGACCGCTTGCTAATGTTAGCAGAAAAAGTCACCAAAGTCCTGAATGGTGCACAAGTTAATTATCTTGAAGGAACAAGTTATTATAAAAAAAAAACATACATATATCACCGTTTGGGACTTGATCAGCTGAGTTCTCTCTGTTATCTGATGTTGTTAGAGATGCATATGAATTTATAGTAAATAACTTGTTCTCATAGGATAAAATATTTTACCTTATGGGTTCTGTATAAAATAGATTTTGCTTGGTAACTAATGTTACTGAATCCGTTTGCTGACTTTATGCTTCTTCTTTACTTGTGAGATTGTTACACCATTATCACCAGTATCTCAACCAGCTAGTAAATTGTTGTGGCTAATGTTGGCAGACTTTAGATAGATGTTGCTGTGTAAGTGATATTACTCGGTCACTTTACTTTTACTGAGCATGAGAGCTCCTCCTTGATCTTGGAAACCTCAAATGTAAGTCTCTTTGGATAAAAGCGTCTGCCAAGTAAGTAAATGTAAATGTTGGAAATGATAGTTTGACCAAATAATCTTAGTGGTTATTGAGTTCAACTTATTTTATTAATAACTTTTCTTTATTTGTGCTACTAATATAATTTTAAAAGTACCCATCGTCAGCAAGAGTTATAGGCTCACTTTTAAGAAAGCATTACATCTGCCAGGAACTTGATCTGAGCGAATATCCTTTGCAATGTAACTAAATACAACTAACACTCTGCTTGATGCTGACTTTCTTCCCCTTTTGTCCTGTGTTTTCTTCTCTTCTCTGCTTTCGTCTGTGCACTGTAGGGTAGTGACATGGAGCTTTACAAAACAATAGCGTTTATATCAACTCTGCTGGAGCAGGTGAGAGCCTGTTTGGCTATAGGAAGGCAGCATAGCAAAGACTGCTGATTAAGATGCATGTACATTTACACTTTTCACTCTCATTGCTATCGTATATTTTATGCTCACATTTAATTTCACAACTTAATTTTCAAAATGCTGCTGTTGATCATGTATTCGGGTCACACTGGTGGTCACATCAAGCCTGTGTTGGCCAACTAGTATGAATGTATCAGCCAATCACGTTATTTACTGAAGATATGATAGAAGCTCCTCATCCACTGAAGTGTTAAAGTATCTTTTCTTTTGTTCATTAATGTCTTATTTTTTCATTAAAAGCAGTGATGTATTTTTGCGTTCCTCTTTTATTGAATAACAGTGGCTCTGCTTGATATGAAAGGCTGCTAATCCATGTAACATTTCATTAATCAGTTTCACTAAAAGAGCATTGGTATCCTCTTTTATAATTATGATCAGAATTCTATATAATCCTGTAGACAGGGGTGTAGGAAAATGAAATTCAAAGTAAAAATATAAAATTATAATATTTAAGTATAAATTATTAATAAATTTTTTTTTTACCATTCTCCTAAATATCAGGTATTACAAAGATATCCGGCAGCTTTAGAAAAACACCTGTCTGTCTGTGTATTTTAGAGGTACTCGGCAGAGTCTCTGCGCAGTATCACGACTGAGGTCCTGAAGGTGCTGAATGCCACTGAAGAGCTGCTGCACGGAGAGGAGGGAGGAGAAGAACCCCGACCCTCCACCACATCACTGCCCCCCAACACTGACCCCAAGAAACTGGATCAGCAGTTCTCTAGACTGGAGGAGAATGTAAGTTCAGCTTTATTTCAGTTTAAATTCCATTTACTAGATTTGAGCTGATGCTTGTCACTTGTTTTTTGAGCGTGCAGTAATATTATACTACAGACCAGTTCTTAATTGTAAGCATCTGACTGACACTATTAAACTCTTGTCTCATACTCATCTTTTGATCTTAAATGTCTTCAGTGAACAACAGAAACAAAGGAATTTGCCTTACCGTTCCAATACATTTGGAGGGGACTGTATATGTTGCAAGATATAGAAGGGCTTGTAAAAATATAACTAAATACAGCTACATGTGATCTTACTATAAATAGTTCAGTAGTTAAGTATTCATTACATTAGTTGTTTGATCTTAAAATGTTACAAAACATTCACTCATTATAAAGTGATGTTAAAGTGTTTTAAAGGAAACATAGTGCACACATTTCCTCTATATCAAAAGGCCATTTTAACTGCTGTTGTAAGTGTGTGTAAGTGCTTTGTAGTGATGCTAGTAGTGGTAAAGGTTAGAGAAGTGGACGTGTGGCCAGCAGGTTATAGTTCAGAAAATCTGAAGGGTAAAACAAGAGTAATGATTGGATTAACAAGCATCAACAGTTTTACTTCCCTCTAACAATGAGTAAAAAACAAGTTTAAGTTAAGAAAGTCACAAGTCTTGTTTTCAGTTTAAGATATGTTGAACTGGATATGCTGCAGGTGTATGTGGCAGCTGGCGTGGTGTACAGTCTGGAGGCGGAGCTGAGTGACCTGGAGGAGTGTGCCAGGGGCATCTGCAGCGCCACGTCCGATATGGAGCTGTCCTTCCTGGAGGAGCAGGTAGCATCAGCAGCTGCCAAAGTTCAACAGTCTGACCTACAGGTGGGTTGAAGTTGGAAATGTCCATTTCATAGCTGAAAATGGAATATCAGGAAACCCTGAAAGTCTTTTGCTGCTTATTATTAGACCTGAATACTACTATGTTTAGGAGATCAAGCTGTACTTTAGTTTGAATTCCCACACTCCAAGCCCCCTTTTGTTTGTTTTTTTACAAACTACACTTAATGTCGTAATGGGCGTTTTTGTAAAAGAAAAGATCAGCTTGTTTAACTCAGCACAAGCAAGCAGAACATCACCACTTTCAATGAAATCTGGAGGTACATGGCTTTTTTGCTGCAGGGTTCTGGTCTTTAAAAACATGAGACAGATTGGCTTTATGGAGGCGCTGCAATCAAAAGTCAACGATCTTATTTGTTTGCGTTGTTTCTGCTCTAGACTTGTGATATCTCAGCCAGAATTGCTGCTTTGAAGAGTGCAGGCCTCAATGTGGACACACAGTCACGCTCGACGAAGACCAGGACCATTCCAGTTATGGTGCGTACCTGTTTACGTTTCTACATCTTTATCATAAGACTGTAACTACCACAACACTATGTTACTAAAACAAAAAAAAACCTTATTGTTCACATGCATCCTCCTGCAGCCCGTCACCCTGGACTCATCCAGACAGGTGAGGAGGCGATTACCTGCACCACCGGTGAAAGGTGAGGAACTTCTATATTCCATACAACAAACAAACTGTATACAATGCATTATACTACTTGCCTTAGGATGCCATTTTGTAGGTAGTATAAACTAAAGTCAACATACTTAAAAAGATACATGTAACATTTACACATTAAAATATCCAAAAACTACAAGACCTATCTTATACATTTTGTTGGGTTGCGTACTTCCAAAGAAATCTGTACTTTTATTCAAGGTAACGGTGCGTTTAATTTGGTCGCATGTCAGTGCCGTCATATGTCCTCTTTAGTTCGTCAGAGTGAGGAAGGAAATCGGTGAACATGACTAAAAGTAACACGAATAAAACTTTAATGCACGTCTGATTTTCATCATTACTGGAGGCTGTTTAACAATGAAGACAACTCCCACGCTACTTCAAGACATCAAACTATGCCTTTTATTATTGTTTTGATGTGAGAGACCAACAGCAGCAGAAATGACTGTGTTTAACTGTTTTATACCAACAGGAAATTCAATTCCTGCATAAAACTTTACTATGAAAGTATATTGTCCGTTAAATGTTTTTATATTAACAGGAAATCAAACTTTTATTTAATTATTTATTTTAAGCTATTATTTCGTTTTATTGCCATTCACATTTTTTTCTGGCTGTGGCCAGCTCCTCCATTTCCTCTCTGCAATGCATTGTGGGACAATTGTGTCCATTAACAGCACACCTAAAAGTCAAGGGTTTTTTAGTTTGCGCACTAACCTTTTAAGTGCTTTGTCACTTTTCCAACATGAACATACCACATACTGATAACCTGTTAATGTATGTAGTATACTCATTTCATCACACTGTTATAACTTGGTACTCTTTAGAGATCCAAACCAAATATTATGGGGTATTTGTCAAGAATGTGCAAATTGTTTAGATTTACAGTTGCATAATTTTATTTTCTCCATTTTGTTTTATTCTTTCTCAGAAGACAAGGAAACTTAAATCATCGACCCAGGACCTTCGCAGTACCTCCAACACAGCAGTGCCTTGACCCCTGCAGCCTACAGGCCAGTCTTAAATGATCCATTCAGATACCATTTGCCTTAAGTTAATTTTAAACTTAACATGCCTCAAATAACACTCAACTGTATGTTCATTTGGTGTAGTTGTGCTGTATGTCATTGATAGTACAGGAAACTGTTGATTCTTGTCATCTTATCAAAATGTAGCGTAGATAGAACTACTTTACTTTCAGATTAATGACCAAACAGTTTTGAAAATGTATCAGCGTTGATCAATCTGGTAAAGACCAGGAGCAGGTAAACCCTCAGCTCACTAAACATGTTTTAAGACTTTTTTAGATTTCCAAGAAGTGGTAACTGGTGAAATTACATTAATGTGTACAAATAAATCTAATATTTTAATTGTAATACTATTTATAAACTAAATTTTAACATCAGAAGTCGTTCATTTAACTTACTGATGATTAAAGACATATCATGACTGAAAAGACACTAAAATGATCAGAAGTACAGAGTAAAATCTGCACTGTTTTTACCATTATATCATAAATGCACAGATTACACAATGGGAACAATTATAGCATGTTAGAAAAATGTTGCGAGACTGTATCGTAATTTTCCATGTTTGTAGATGTTTACAATGTTGTAGTGTACATGTTTTCTGTCTTTATTATAAAATTGACAAAATAAAGTCAAAATTCAAAAAGTTGCAGACATTGCTTCACTGTAAAAAAAACAACACTTATACTGAGAAACAGCATTGAAAACACTGTGCACCCTGTTTGCCCCTCAGGATGAAGGTGGGTGTAATGGTGAGGAATTTAGTCCGTATTTTTGAGATCAGGAAATAACACCCAAATATGACATTCCTCCTTGTGAAGGAGTGGGAACGACATAACAGCTCTTGAAAAACTGTCTCAAAACAAACATCCAGCAGCGTCACCTCTTGCTCTGTGACGCTACAGTAAACACGAACGAGTGACCTGAGCAAAGTTTAAAAACAAGTTTTCGTTATGCCGTAAAAACAGTCCTGTGGCTCACCAAGCGAACACCAACATAAAGCCAGACTGTTACAGTGTCCTTAAAATGAACTTTGAGCAACAGCTAAAAGAAAGCATTCAAGGAAGCAACACTTCCTCTCAGAGAACCAGCTCTGTCCCAAAGCTATCTGGGATACATAGTTTAGGTCAGGAGCTCTGAGACCAGGAAGCGCTCCCTCTGATCGGAAACTATGAATCCTTCTTTCTGGTCACTCTCTCTTCTGTCCGACATGGCAAAAGACTGTTTGGGGTCGATGACCACCATGCTGTCTTTGTCCTGACCAGGAGCCTCCACCTCAGCGTAAGAAGGGCGACCGGAACCCCGGCTGAACTTCATGATTGGCCAGCGGGTCGGTCGTCGCTGATGGAAAATGAACACACGAGTTGGTTTGTGCAAGGAACATTTAGATGTGTTCAGAGCCCACACAAGTACATAGCACTTTACTCTCTATAAGATGTGGGTTTCTGCTCTGCTGATGAATCTTCAACAGTATTTATATATTTAACAAAAGATTTGGGACAGACAAAGGAATGTTTGAAGAAGAACCACCAGTCACACCAAGGAGGGTGTTAGTTAAATTCCAGTTTCCAAAAATTCCAAATTACACAGAGGGGTGTTAGAAATGTTAGTGTTATGACAGAACTAATTGTGCACATAGATGGAGGGAAGTGCAACATTGCTTCAGTGAAGTGCTGAGACTTGGATAAACATGCTGAAAAGTTAAATAGTTCAGAAAAGGTCAGGAATTCATCAGAATCATAATTCATCGTCTGGGAACCCCAAATATCAGCTGCAAATGTCATTAAATCAATTTTAAAATACCTTTTAGTGGACAAAGGTATGTTGGTTAAAGTGACATTTTTGGTGCTAGATGAATGTGTTGTGTAACCAAAATATGTTAGGAATCACTCTCTGGGACGAGTATTCATACCAGATTTCGTGGTTATCTCCCAGTATTTGTTCGAGATTAAAGTAGTGAAAGGACCGACTTTTTATCTTTAGGCCGCACTGCTTGCAAGGCAAACCCCCCCCCCCAAAAAATCAATCTCACAAAATGTTGACTGATTACTTATCCCAATTAAGTTTTAAGTCTCTGCATTTTGACTTTCTGGGAAATGAACAAAAACCCGGGACGGTAGGTAATCCAAATGAAAACTGCAGAACTACTTGCTTCTACATTTCAAGGGATTATGGGGAATTTTAGATTAGGACAGTCATACACAGCAGCTGGGTGACACTGACCTCCATGAAGAAGAGGCTTGCGTTGGAGGTGGGGTGGTTGTACATGTAGACAGACATAAGGACGGCTGCTGCCATGATGACCACCACCATGACGATGCCTGCCAGTAAACCAATCTGCAGTCGCTCATCACTCTCTCCTGTGGTCTCGTCGTCTCCTGCTGTACAGTGATGCTGATTGGATTCTCAGTAATACTACTCATAGTTCTAGACTTAAAGTCCCTTTGTAGAATTTTTCAAATGACTTTAGCATCAAAAATACTGCCAAACTAGGGGACACTAGAGGTGAATGGGCTAAAAACAGCGTGTATGTGCAGATATTTTCACCAGGATTGTCTAATTTTTCTGTGAAGATTTCTTATGCATGCTTAAACAATGCTGTAATCACATACAATTATGTAGATGTAGGTGCGACAACAATTTGGTCTCTCACTAATGATTCAGGCACATGAGATGCAAAAGGTTTACAAGACAACTACTGAAAGCATCGTGTACCAATTAAAACAAATCAAAATCAAACACAAGTAGGTGGACATGAATGACTTACTCGCTTCATTGATGTGCAAAGACCTTGTGTCATCTAGAAAAAGAAAACGATTTCAAATCATATGACATGAGTAAGTTTTTTTTAATACATTTTCTAGTCTTTTTATCTAGCTAGTAAAATGCCAGCTTTTGTTAAAATGTTTGACACTTCACTTACAAATAACAGCCACTACAGAAAACCAGACCATCCAGCCCACCCATATTCTGACCCAAACAGTGATACACATACATTGAGTCATCCTTCAGCAGATGAGGACACTATGCAGTATTTAACATGGCGCTGTATACGCTCAGCTATGAGCTAACAGAGGGCTGGGAAATAGCTGACCACTTGACCCTCGCACTGTCAGACTTTGCACAACACGCTGGGCTGGGAATTCAGATGCATTCATTGTTTTGTTTACTACAGGTATTGTGAAAGCATTAGTCAGCTCACCTTCTGCAGGTTTGCTGGTAGGAGGCGGTGGAGTGGAAATAATTCTGCTTGTGCTGCTGCGCGTTGAGAGGTTGGCGACAGCGGACATCTTGCTGAGGGGGGTGGAGGTCATGCTGGAGCTCCTCTGCTGCATCGTGATCGTTGTAACAGGAGTGGTCATATGTGGGAGGAGGTGAGATGTGGTGTTTGTGAAGTCTGTCATTCGGAGACACCGGGGATCTCTTCTCTGGAAAAATAAAACATCAGTGAACTCTTTTGTTCAAACGGACACAAGTGGTGCTTTCTGTAGTTTACTCAAATGTAAAAATAATGAGGACCTCCTCCGGACAGCCATGGTCAACCCAGTCTTGCCGGTTACGATCAAAGCCACTGGAGCATCTGAAAAGGGATGTAAATATTATTAATGTATGGAGAGTAACCTATATCCATTCAAGATCCCTTATTGACAAGGTGCTTGATGCAATTTCCAGGAGTTTTGTAGCCAGCTTGTATATTTATCGGGCATTGTGTAAATAAGATGATACTGTGATCTGAGTGAAGGCGTGGGTAGGTATCATGTACAACATACTTACACTTTATACTCCCCTGCAATAGGGCAGCATGTAGTAAGGCAAAAGGACAAGAACAAAGCTTTTGTAAATTGGTTTAGTCTTAAAGGATAGGTCTATCTTAATGCAATACTCACATAGCCTACATTGAAATGTGACATTGGATAGATTATCGGTCTCTAATTGTTTCTCCTGTCCTTTCTGCCTGTAAAGAGATCCTTTCCTAAAGTGATTTCACTGTACAGTAAGTGATGGGTGTATAAAATCTTGTACCAAAAAGTCCAGAACATTTGAAAGATATCAACTTGATTTTACAAAATGAGGACTGTAGATTTGTCCCTCTCCGCTTACATGGAAATTACTTTTCAATGTGTGTGGCTGGTAAGGACAGCAGAACAGTTACAGAGAACAATGACTCTCAACTATCTCGATTAAAATATGGAAATGCGAGTAATATTTTAAAACAGTCCTGTGAACCTATTATTTATCGTGCAAACCTTTTACTGTAAAATGCATTAAAATCATACAGTAAATGTTACATACTGAGTTAGTTTTAATAATCATGTGATCTACACAGATTCAATCATTTTATACAGTACAATAATCTTTACTGTTCATGTTATTATTTCCCATACCATTTTCAAGTGGGTTGTCCTATTTAAAATAAAATACTATCTTGGAAACACTGATATGATGTGAACACACATCAGCATTTTCTGGGGGAAAAAAGACACTTATAGAAAACACTACAGCAGCATAGTAGATTAAAAATTGCTTTAACTCAGTGGTCATGTGTCTGACTGACTAGGAATTTAAAGGCCTCACACTCCCAGGATTGAACAGGATTCAAGTATTTTCATATAAAGTTTGCCATCAGCAAAGATTGTTTCTCACTATGTGCATTTTATTGCAGAGCTGGATTCAAATGCAAATTAAACATTCCTAACATTTTCTATTATTAAAATACATTTTATGGAATGAGCAGCCTTGTCGGCGGTCTGTGCTCTCAGTGCTTTCCAGTTTACCTTTGTAGCCGACTGCACCAGCTGCAGTTAAAGCCAATCTGAGAAGTGACACATGGACCGCAGCTGGAGAACTGGAGACATGCTGAGAATAAAGAAAGACCGTGAGGAGGAAGAGACAGATTTGAGTTCTGTAAATCAAACCTGAATGCATTTTTTCAGGCCATCCCACAGTGTAGAGCTAACATGCAACTGCTGCTACTGTATTATTGTCACATCCTTTTTTACAATTTGAGTGGCCAACAAAATTAAAAATAAAACGTTCCGATTAGGTTTACTGATGGTCCACATATACGGATAGGGGAATCTGTGTGTTTTGCCATCTTAGCAGCACATGTCTTTGTACATTTTAATTAGGATTAACTTACTAGGGAGAGGTATCATCTCCACAGCTGTAGAATTGGAGATTTTGGATTTGAGGATGTCGACTTTGTGGTACTCATAAATGGTTCTCCGACGAACATCTGGACAAAGTCAGAAAGGATATGAAGTGAATTAGTAGTGAGGCCCGGTGCTTTGATTAATAAATTAAATTAGTGATTTTACGGTGATTTTGTGCCACACACCGGGGATCTGTTCTATCTCATGAAGCACCACAAAAGCATCCGACAGGCCGACTTTGACAGGATGGTTCTCAGTGCTGATGTTGTTGATGTTTATGGGAATCTAGGACAAAAAAGCTATTTAATTTAACAAATTTTGCATTAACAGAAGAACACCAAGAGGAGAAGAAATGTCACCCGTTTGTATGCAAAGACGATTCGTCCGTCGTTGTGCAGAACGGCCTGAAAGGTGAACGTTCCCAGACTGATGTTGTCCTGGAGGTGAATCTGGTTCCATTGAACCACCAGTGCAGTGCCTAAACGGTGGATATACATGCACATACATTAATTATAAATATTCTACAGCAGACCCACAAACAAAAAGCCATTCTATCTTACCATTATCAAAGTAGATCACAGTTGAGTTTTTGGACAGGCTTGGGTCAAAATTCGCCATTAGAGGGGCGATGTACTGAGTAGCTGTGAGCATTCGGTGGAGTAAATCTCCAGTGTAAATGAAACCTGTGTGAGACAAACATGCAGAGGTTGCCATCAGTCTTTTCTATGAACTGCAGAGAGACATCACAATATTCATTTTAATTGTGGTTTAGTTATGGGACAAAGGGCCCCTCCCTCCTACTTACCAGAACCCCCACCAACCCCTCCAACACACACTGCTTCACTCGCAGTCACTTCACATGTGTTTTTTTTTGCAAGTTAACCCAGTACTTAAATGTCTGCTGTTGTTTGAAAACAGATCATCATCTTCAGTATTTTATTTTGTTCATTCTGGAGGTAAAGAGAGGTTGTATAGATACAGACCCAACCTGATCACACAAAATACTACAGCAAAAAATAAAAGGTAACCTATGATGCAGATGATGGCCTCTCAGAGCAGTGCTATTCTTGTGTCAAATCTATTTAAACTGCTTTACTCATTAAGTATGCACTGTGTATATGTACAACGAAGGTATAAAGTGAACAAAAATATAACAATTCACTCAAAATTTCTATAATGTAGCTCTATACAGTGTGTGTATCTCAAACTACTTTGAATTCAGACTGAGCCTCATAACTCTGAACTCACAACTTCTAGAGATTGTGTGTGTGGTTAAAGACTTACCTCCAGTTGCCACTGTGATTTCTTTTAGTATATGACCGTAGAAAGGGAAGTTGAAGGAAAGATTCACTCTCTGGAAACAAAGAAAGGCAAAGTGAAACATCAACTGTGATATGCTGATCAACACTTCATTAATACAATGTCTAAATAATTTGGACATCAACATCTTTTTTCCCCCCATTCAGGAAAGTCAAAGTAAATACACAAATTAAAAATGGATTGCCCACTGAACATCTTCTACATGAGGTTCTTAGTTTAACTAAAACAATGATTGTCCCATTTATTCACACAGACTGATTTCATACCTCAGCTTGTCTGTGGGTGCTGGACAGGAAGCCAGAGACCTTCCACTTGTCCTCTTCCATCTCATCGACGTTCACCCACAGCTCTTGACTGTCTCCAGGACCGTAGATTTTAGATTTATAGTAGGCGTGATCAATATCCTGTCCAAACATGTAGGGATTAAAATGCTTTTTATTAAAATCAGTATTTAAAAAAAAAAAAGAAGTGAAGTGGAACTAAAATTTAATTATTGCACTTTAATAAAAAGTGTGCTTTCATTCTTTTTGAAGAGTATAAGATGGACAGATTTGACAGGTATGAAAGCAGATAAATGAAGAAATAATGTTTCGTTGCATATTTCCCTAATATTACAATTTCCGGTCCCAAAGTGGGGAAAACATGAGAACCACTGCAATAAATATTTCCATCAGTCATTTTAATCAAACCTTTCTTGCTCATTCACTCTATACATTTAACATTATCTACAGAAAATGTGTTAAATTCTAAATTTGGAGTATAATACTTTCTCAAAAAGAGAACTTTTCCTTCCAGGAAACAAAAATTTAGATGTTAATTCACAATGTTCAGTTGGCTAACTTTTTTCTTCATCTGCTGAACCTCTCTTACCGATTAATAACTCTTACCACAATCTGTAAGGAATTGTCATGTCCCTCCTCCATCAGCAGGTCTGAATGTGACTCTTCTGGTTGGTGCTGCTCTCTGTAGTGGCCCCTCTTATCTGCAGCCTTGCTAGGGTCCCCAGACCTAGACCTGGATGCCCACCTCCTCACCCTGGGTTTGTGGTTCCCTGCGACTAGATACGACCTTCCCTCTGGAGGAGACAGCTCCTGTGTGTCAGTTCTGTAGATTCCTGAGGAATCAAACAGAGGGAGATCAATTTCCATCATCATATTACTACTAATAAAATCAAAATGTCTGAGATCTGAGCTGATGCTGACAAAGATATGCGTTTTAGAACTCCATGTATAAATGTACAAAAGTCATTAAGATTAAGACAATTTATATGACTTTTGTTCTTTGATAAATAAAATAGATGGTGGCGGTAAATACTGGCATATAAGTAATTGAAAATAATGGTTGATTAATTAATGAGTTGATAAAATGAATCTATGTTGTTGTAGTTACTGTCACATGAGGAAATAAACCATTAAATAAATAAAAAATAAGGCAACTCAGATACCCAAACAAATCTGACAATTCAGCTTTCTTAACTAGCTGGATAAATCTAGAAGTTCCTACAATTAAAAATTTTCTAAATATGAAAAAACAGCAATTTTTAGAATCGGATAAAAAAAGTTATGTTAGGTTTAATTTATCAAGAAAGGATGCAAAATTTTGCAAAAAACATTTGCTTCTTAAATATGATACGTTCCTGCTTTTCTCTGTTTTAAATAATGGAAAATTGTATATGTTTAACAAAAGACAAAACAAGCTAGAAGCTTAACTTTAGGAAATGTTCATAGTTATGTGGCATTTTATAAACTCAAGGACCCCTTAACAAGCAGCGGCCCACTGGTGGGTCAGTCATTCCAAACTCATATTGTGCAGGCAAACAAATATTCAAACTAGGGCTGCAACTACAAATTATTTTCATAATAAATTAATTTTTATTATTATTTATTTTATCCATCAATCGTCTAAAAACATTTAAAAAATTTAAAAAGTGAAAAATGCCCATCACAATGCCCTAGAGCACAAAGTCGTGTTTTGTCTTTTTTTGTCCGACCAGTTCAAAACCCAAACATACTCAGTTTACTACACAAGGACAGCAGCGAATTATCACATTTGAGAACATGAACCGTTAAATGTTTGGCATTTCTGTGTGAAATAATGACCTAACTTATCAAAATAGATGCTGATTAATTTTCTTTGGATCAACCAATTAATTAATCGTTGTAGCTATAATTAAAACTTAAATTTGATGTTTTCCTGTTTCAGATTTTAAAGTTAAAGCCAAAGATATGAAATATGTCAGGCTAAATTTTAGGGGAACCCATAAATACATTGAGTCTTGGGTTTGAATATTAAGAGCTTGATAAAACTGGCAGACGACATATATGCTGTCTGAGTGGAAAATTACAAACATACTATTATAACAAACTTAAAGCTGAAAGGGGAAATAAATAGGGAAAGCTGTATATTCAGGGAATAGTAGATTTCATACATCAGATTCTCAAACATCAGAAAAACAAACTCTTGCATTTTAAACAATTCCCGCGGCATGTGCCATGTGGCAAACATGCGTGGTCACCCCGTCATTCTGCCCTCCCAGTGACAACAGTGCGTCCTAACTTTTCTCTTCACAGCAGAGGGTGAAAGCATGCTTCACATTCTTCACACCAGCAGGTCCAGGACCAGGCATGTGAGGCTGGGCAGCGGTGGGTTGTTGGGTCTATATTTCTGTCACATGGTGGCCCTGTGGCTGCAAGGCCTGACAACCCTCCACCTGATGTGGGCAGTTTCCTGGTGCTACAGAATCTATAGTAGTTGTGTAGGTGTCTGTAGAACTACAAGTCAGATAAGTTCAGTAAAGCTCACCAATTCCTGTTGCAGCAGAGTCCACTGTTTCCTTTCCACTTAAAATACTCCAAATGTTTCACAGAAAATAGAAAACGACGATTATTGGCAAAAACAAGGTCAGAAACTGCTGCTTCAGCAACACACCTGAGCCTGATTACACCTTCAATTTGTCTCTATCAGTGATCCACCTGGTGGTCGCAGGTGGTAATACAAACACAGATAAAAGTGAAACTGGCTCCTACAAAGACAGAATTACTTACCCTGGTATTTGAGGTTAAAGACAGAATTATGAAACACTGAAATGATATTAGTGAGTTTCCCACTGTAGTCTAAAAGAACAAAAGACGTGGGAAAACAGTGAATGCTAATAGGCCTACATTTTTTAGATTTTTGGGGATTCATTATTTAAAAGACATTGTCAAACAAATTTTCTGCAATTGTCATATTCAATCCAAATTTCTATTTGGTTTTGGCATAGAACAAATATATCTCCAGCTATTAATTATGCATATATTTTACCAGAAAAAAGTTAAATAACCAATATTACAGGTGTCTTAGTTATAGTTAGTTATGTTAGCTGGTTATATAATAGGCCTACAGCAATATTAAATAGGCTAACTTTAACCGATCAAATAAAAGGCTATACTGCACAAAACGTTACGTTATAACTTACAGTATTGCGTTACCGAACCTCCTGTTACCTCCCCTAACGTATCTTAACCAAAGTCCACTCCATTATTTTTATGGCGTACCATGAGCGGATTTCAGCTTCATGAAACTTAGTTGAAACTGGAAAACAATGAGCAGTCCTGTGATGAGATTAACCGTCTTCCTCAGAGTCATCGCCATCCTTCCTCTCAGTTCGTAGCGCATCTTTAAAGGGCAAAGAATGAAACCAGGGAATTTGGGCAAAGCGAGTTTGCGCGTGTGACTGTGAACCTCCGACGTCTCACTGCTGGTCCTTGTCAAGTAAAAAATAATCAGAAACGACGACCTATCTAGCCTAACGTCGAGCTTCTCACATGTTGATGCCCATGTTAAAGGTTTAGCTCATGTTCGCAGACTGTCTGCGTCAGTTTGGTCTCGGGAATGAAACGCTGTTGGTGATGAGAGCCCGTACCCGTGGAAACGCTGCCTTCAAGTGCCGTTGTAAATGTCACCATAATGAGCCCGAAGCAGTGGTGGAGAAAGTAAAAGTCCTAATACAAATATTTTTATATTACGAGTAAAAAGTCTTGGATTGAAAATATCACTGAATTAAAATTATGTAAGTATATTCAGGAAGATTTGAATTAAAACCCCTGTGACTGTTGTATTATTAGCCTATATATCACCAGATTGTAGTTGGTTACAGTGGTCCTGGTGAACTATTTTGTATGGGACTACAACTAATGATTATATTCCTTATAGATTAATCTCTTGATTGTTTTGTTTCTAAAAATGGTGAGTAAATTCTGTCATGACTACTCAGAGCCAAAAGTGACATATTATAGGGTAGGCAATTTATTTCAGAAGCATTTTTTATTATGGTTAGTTCTCTTTAAATCCTGACAGCAATTAATCGACTATATGTGGCTGTCGCAGGACTTCAATAAGCATCAATAATTGTAACACAATAATTTAATATAAATTATTTGGAAATGGGCCAATCTGCTCAAGTAGGCCTACTTCTACTTTTAGTAGCCTACTTTCAGTATATTTCGATGCTAAATTTGGATACTGGACTTTTCATTTCAACAAAGTATTTTTTTCAACATGGTATCGCTACTTTAATTAAGTAGGCTACTTTATCTTTATCTTTGAATCAAAGTGATCCTCCACCTGAAAGCGCCGTAAATCAAGATAATTAGAAGCGAATGAAGGCAGCAGTTTATGTACTTAATGTAATTCCAACCTTCTCCACAAGATGGCCACAATCACATAAATTAAACCAGACACTTTTTAAGCCTTTACAGTATTTGAATATCATTTAAACGCTATACAAAGTACATGCAGAAGTGATAAGGTTGGCCAATTAAATAAATTAAAGATAATTATGGTGAGATGTGATTCTAATAGTCAGATTTAGCATCTTTATGCATTAAGTTTGGTTTGACATGAGCTTTGTTATAAAGTATTTTGTGGCCAATGTGAATACAGTGTCAGTACATAAAACATTTTAAGTATTTAGCATCCACACAGAAATAAAAAACTAAGATCTATTAACAATTTACTTAATAACTATTAAATTGTGCTTTAAAATTCATTCATCTGTTTATCAGTATCAACTGTCCCAATATTAAGTGTCCTAATATGTATAGATATTTATCACAATTACTTGTTTATTAGGTCTAAATCAAGTTAATGACAATGAAGCATAAATGTTGTGTACTTTGTTTTTAATGCAATTTCCACAGATAAGACCATTTCTAATGGATAACAAAGAAATTAAACATCAAAAACTTTAATCATGAGCCATTTTTGTTTCCAAACATATGAAGAGTTCCTTTACATTGTGTCAAAGGTTTCACACTGTCAACAAATAAGCTCTTCATTAAAAAGGTCTATCATGTGCATTTGTGACAATAATCATTACAATACTTTTGAGACACTGGAATAAACACATTGTTTTTTTGGCACAAAAAACCCCCAAACGGCACACTATTCTTTCTAATGTTTGTTTTTTGCCACTACGTTATGTATCTGATGTGCTATCTGATAGCTAAAGGATACGTCAAATATTTATCAGACAAACGTAACAATGGAGGCCACTAAATCCTTAAATAAATTAGCATATTTCCCAAAATGTCATAATATTCTTTTATGGTTTTTGGATTAGAGTGTCATCTTAGCACCAACAATCCTGCTGGAATTTGTTTGGTCTCACTTGTTTGTCAGTTGTCTCAATTTCATAAAGCAGGATTCTTTTTTAAGCAATGATTTATTCATGTTTATAAATGCTACTGACAGCACCTTTAATAAAACAGTTATTTGTGTCAGAGATGTGGGTGGAATGAGAAACTCTGAAGAGCAACATTCAGCTGAAACACTCAGCAACCGAGCAGCTCCACTTCAAAGATGAGAGTGGCATTTGCTGGGATGATAGGTGGGTATCCTTTACTGCCGTACGCATAGTCCGGCGAGCAGGTCAACTTGGCCACCTCGCCAACGCTCATCTGTTGAGGTGGTGAAGAACACATTAAATAAAAAGGTTATGTGGCTTTAGTATTTAATGGCTGATCTGTATTTTGGCATCTCTGTTAAAGGGCTGATTTAGTCCTGAACGACTGATGGGAGTTGTATTAAAAAATATATTTTCAATAGCAATGCACCAGAGGTAAACACTCCATGTCTGGTAAATGCTTGCACCTTCATAACTCTTGCCCCCATTTTGTAACGCATACTTTGTTACAAATTTGAAGTCTCCAAGGCCAAGCTGAGATAACCCTGATGACAAACTCCTCTAGAGCCATAGAAGACATTTTACAACCGTTTTCACAGTAGGGCTGGGTGATATATCATAATAATTTGATTAATTCATTTAATTATGATGTGTAAAAGATCCACATAGTGACAATTAAGTTTTTACAACATGCATAAAATGGCTATTTTCTGTCAAAAAATAATGTAGATGATAGCTGGCTGTGTGGTGTTATAAGACACAATAGCCCTGTTGTGCAATGTGAATAGTTAGACTAAATGTGCACCTGTTGCTGTATACAGGGCCATCTTGACTCCAGATGTCCAATCTAACAGTCCCATCGACAAGAGACTGAAAAAACGGAGCACTGGGAGCTGACAGACCAGTGTACGGAGTTTACTTTGTTCAGTCTGTCACTACCTGCTGGGTAGCTAACGTTAGTTAGCCAGCAGATAAACTGAAGTCCAAAAAAGCATAAGCAGATGAATGAATGAGCTCACTTTTATGCTGCGTTTCAATTAGGGCTGGGCAATGAAACAATAATGATTATTATTGCAATTTAATTTTCCTCAATAGCAATATAATAAATGTTCAGTATATTGTTAAGATTTGGTTTATTTGAATTATAGACAAATTAGCTCTTTTTCTGTTAAAATATTTTGCTAAAGAAAAGGGACTAAAAAAAATTTTACTAATGATATTTTTCGAAAAAGATTTTATCATAATAGTTTTGAATGTTCTACCTCATTTGTTAAGTGATCCCCTGTTTGGCATCAAATGTTTGTCTCATTCTGACCGTAAAGAAAAGTTTAACCACATAATTAACCATTTGGTTTCTTCAATTTTCCCTCGAGCAAAAATCAGCCTTTAAACTGCAAAGAAATAATGATTTAAAATAGATTGTGATAATTATCAATATTGAATGCTATGAAATGTTTTTATCGTTCAACATTTTTGGCCATATCGCCCAGCCCTAGTTTCAGTCCTAGCACATTTAAGGGTGGGGGGGGGGGGGGATTAACAATCATGAATTGTCTCAGCTTGAAAAGTATGTATATATTTGAATTTTGGGCCATATTGCCACGCCCTTTTTCACATGCTGAGCTGAATTTCCAAAGAGTCTTGATGTGTGAAATCGGTGGCGTGCCCCTTTAATAAAGTCTCTCTCCTTACCTGAGCTACACCCTCATCCCAAGCACGAATTACTTGGCCGGCTCCAATTTTGAATTTGAAGGGCTGTCCCCGGTCCCTGGAGGAGTCAAACTTCTTTCCATCCGTCAGCGTGCCTGTTCAAAAAACAGCAGCAGGAAGAAAAACACTGATTACACAGCGCGCTGTTGTTGTTGAGTGCGTTTGTAGCACTTTAAATACAATGTTGAGTGAGTGTTGCATACTTTAACGTTAGTCAGTGCACGCAGTTAGGCAGAACATGAATGGCTGGACGTTTTGGTATGAGGAGATCAATAAGCAAACGTTACCACTTCAACTTGTAACGTTATACATTCAAAATGAAGCAGCAGCATTATTACGGTTAGCTTAACTTAGCTTAGCACAACGACTGTATATATGGGGATACCGCCAACCTGGCGAATTGTTGTCTTTACACTTCATGTTCGGTTTCATTAAACGACATATAACGTCTTACATTGTGAGCATTATGGGTGCTGGTAAGCGTTATTGTGTCAGCCATTTGCCCCGTTTCCCGTCTTTGTGCTAAGCTAAGCGTTTCCTCGCGGCTGTAACGTTAACATTAACGTTGCCGTACAGACACCGACTGGCATCGCTGCTCTCGTCTGTCTCTCGAGAAAAAAGCGAATAAGCCTTTTCTCAGAAGTAAAACTTACATTTTAAACCGATCACACGTTTATATGAGTGGGTAATATTTTTTATTTAAATGGGAATGGGCGGAAAAAAATAACCTTTGCCCAGTCGGTACTGAAATGAGTCTTACCGACGTAATGTACGCTAACCTCGCGTCCACGTACCGGAAATGTCCTTCCTGAAAGCGGAGAAAAAACGTGAGTTAAGAACTGCTATATTGTGAAAGGGAAATATAATATTGAAGTTATCAAGGCGCTTGGATTTAAAAAAAATTCCTTACCGTCTCCCGGTCTTAAGATCTCGACGTCGACTCCCATTGTTCTTTCCGAGTGCTCTTCCCCCGCACACACTTCCTGGAGTAATGATTGTGTGTGTTTAGTCACATGCAACGTGATTGGCTCGTTCACTAAAGCCGTTCAGTGTAACGTGTCTCACGTGGTCGAGAGGGCTTGAAAGCATAGATTGTATATATAGATAGATACTTTATTTATCCCGAGGGAAATTCAAATTTAGCCTTTCAAAAAAGTCTGAAATCCGCGTCTGTCATTTTATTTTCCCCTGCATGTGTGGGTGTGTGTTTTGCATTGCATGTGGGTGCTTGTCTGAAAGACAAAAATGTGAGTCAGAAAGGTAGAATCGTTGTTTTGTAACCTAATCACGAACCCAATGTAGGTAACGTCGCTGGATGTACTGAGAGGATTGGAGCTAAACTACCACGGCTTCCGAAGTAGGGAGGGCCCTCAAAAACTCTGGGATAAAATTAGTTTTCATCGACAGATATGAAATTGTACGTTGTTAGAACCAACTACAACTGTTGGTTAAATAAATGCTAACACATACAATATCTTGTATCTAAAAGAACAACAGAAGAGCCTCTCAGCCCATGTGTATGTGTACCTGTATATCATATCCACCTTCAACATGTACATAATGAGAATAATAGTTTACTCTTGCATCCTTTGCACTCTGATCACTGCACTATTTGTCAATATGTCTATATTGTTTTGTTCATAGGGTGTATATTAGTGTTGTCTATTCTGTAGTTTGTGTTATGGTATTGTTGTATGAGTAAGGACATCATGAGCAATGTACAATCCTGAGTCAAATTCCTCGTATGTGTACACATATCTGGCAATAAAGCTGATTCTGATTCTGATTCTGATCCCCCCTTCCCGAAGGGTACACATTTTTAGGTTTAGTCCACTCCCACTGTAGGCAGTGGTGGATTGCAACCTATCAGTTCTGGTTTGTTTTTATTGAATATAATACATTTCATGTAGTGAGTATGACTGAGCACATGTTTACAAATACCATATACTTGTAACATACATTAAATTATATTTTTATAGCTTTTTTATTGAGAAAAAAGCAGAGACTTTGACTGGAGAATTTTGACATAAATAGTATGTTGCATGTAGAATAGACAAATTGATTAGAAAACAATCAGCATTTGCAGTACTGTAATATGTGAAAACAAAGAAAAACGTGTTTTCAAACTTGAGAGTAGGGTACATTTTGGTATATGACAGTATTCATACAGTAGAGGCCAAAACAAATGAGAAACATCTGTCGTTATCAAAGGTTACAGTTTTACAATTTTTTACAATTACAGTTTGTATCAGAATGACTTTGTATGTTAGTAACGAAAATTTGTTCTTAAAAAGATTCCATTTTAAGTAGCAAGTTACATTAGGTTCAGAATCAACTTCTCTCTGAAAGAGTGAACAAATCTGTTACTCTGTTTGGGCAACAAAGTAATAGCTTTATAACGTTAGGCTATCAGGCGGATCGATGTTGGACTAAGGTTGTAATACTGAGGCACAGTGAAGAGAAACTGGGCGAATGTTTAGCCTCATTTGAAGCTGACTAAATAACAAGAGTCGTAGGTTGGATGCCGTAACTGTTGTTTAATGGGGCTTTTTGTGGATATTTATACTGCAACGCTTGCTCAGAGAGTTAGCTTTGTTGTTATATATATGTATGTAAGCCAGCTGTGTGGGCGTCAGGCCCAACAGCAATTATGGACAGGGGGACAACATTTTCCAAATTGGGTCCCTCATTGAGACCTACTCCAACACCACTTTCACCCACCCGCTCTTAGTTCTAACACAGTGACAATTTCAAAGAAGCTCTTTGCCATTAGCCTTATTGTGACACAGATGGAGCCCCTAACAACCATTTTCAAATTCAGTGCGTTAGACTCATCCAGGCCATGCTCGCATATAAATTCAATTACTCAATATAAATATAAAGCACAAAAGGTCAATCCATTTTTCTTTTCAAATTAGACTGTGACAGTCTATATTCCGCCTTTTAACTTGACACAAGACAGGAGAGAAAAAAATGCCCTTCAATACTTGAGTGATTAGAAAAAAGTAAAATCAAACATTGAAAAAATTGCTACAAAGCATAAAATCAAATTATCAGAGAACAAATAAATGTCATCTGTTAAATTCAATCTTGGTGGCTAAATTAATCAAAGTATTGGTCAAATTATGTGCAGACCTGAAATACTGTATAGAGTATATGGCTTTGTTATGTGTAGCTTATTGCATTGTAACCATATTTGCAGCTATAGCCTATGGCTTGTGATGTGCTACTGAGTAGTGTTTACTGTAGGTCAATTTTCTTGAGACTCTTGCAGAGGAACTTGTGGGTGTTAATCTTCATTAATATAAGGGAAACACAAAATTCAGGTGGCAAGTGACAATTCCAAATACAATAGAATATAGTGCAGTAAAGCTCTCAGGCATTCGGTGTTGCTTTTAGATATATGTTTTCTCCTGTAGTTTAACTTTTACAAGGTAGTTTATTTGTCATTATACAGCACAAGGTTGTTGTATAATGAAACAAAAGTTTGTAGTCGCTTCACATTGCACAACAGATTAATATATTAATATTTGAATACCTACATATTAGATGTGTATTAAAATATTTTCTCATGTACTATCATCTCTGCTGAGTCAGCACACATGCACGAATTATTCTTCTGTTTGGGGAAGTAACTTCTTTAAATGTCACCTTTTCTCGCCTCAATGATAAATTGTGTGTTGAAAACTTTCTGCACATTCAGAATCTCCCCCACATTGACAGTTGTAATATTTTAAGAATAACGTCATCATTTAATGAGAATTCATAATATTTTTAAACATCCTACCTGCCCCCTACTCTGCTGTGCATTAGCCTGCGTTGTTGTGGAGGTGGATAAACGAAACTTACTGAAAACCCTTTTGATCAGACAGAAATCTCACCACAAATCCACACAAATGTTCACTTCAGCACCTCAGAGAAATTGCAGCTCACAGTCCCAAAAAGATTTTAGATGTTTAATTTGCAAAACTCTTTCAGTTAGTTACAGCGACATCAGCTGGGTGGAGTTCACTCGCCCCAAGTCTTAGGCTATACATTTGTTTTTCACTGCGGGAGAAAATTGATCTGTAGCATGAGAGCATGTGAAAAGTGTCATGAGTCTCATGCTCAATGTGAGTTGGCAGCTCTGGTGTTAACATTACTTGAAAGTTAAGCAGGCTAAAGCTTTACTAGTCTGCCTAACTGATAGCTCCTCACCTTCGCCTGTCAGACATATATGGTGCTTCTTAACACTCTTTTTAGACAGATATTTGGCCATTGTCTGCCAATGATTTTATTTTCCTCTGTGTGATTTGGCTTTTCTTTTCTTGGGCCCCTGACAGGCTGCAGTGTAGTGTCCGCTTGAAAAGACTCGCTTTACAGTTGTGGGTCCCGCACATCTGAATGGCCAAATGTTTCAACCATACCATTTTCACAATCAAAGCGGGGGTGGGTTATTCATCTTCTAAATAACAGTTTTAATGGAAATCAAATATCTCTCAGAACACATAATTTACAAACAGGTTGTGGTTTATTAGTTTCCCTGTAGTTATTAGTCTGGACTAAGCATCAGATGAAGCCATACTGGCATCAGTTACATGCGGCGATGGATTATACAGTTTGTTGAAGAAGGAAAAGTCTGATTCAGTTCCATGTTGTGTGCCCTGGAAATAAAAAAAAAGATTGTTTATCATCTGAATCTGTAAAGGCTGGACAAGATATTGTATTAATAAATCCTGCCTTACATCTATTTTGCAGTCATAGAGATCAAATGCAGAGTCCTGGTTAATTGCGTTGTTATTTATTAACGGCTGATTCCTGAGAGACACACAAGCAGAAACATCAGCTGACAACATAAACCAACATTCTTCAGGGTTCTTATGTACATCGTGTCAATTATTTATGTATTTAAACAACTGTGTACATTGTACTGTGCTTCCTGTTCAGCATAAAGAGGAAGATGCAGATGATGACTCCAGCCAGCAGAGTCAGACCAACTGCCAGACCAATGGATAACATATCTGCACACACAGAGAAACACAATGAGAGCACATTTGACATCAACTTCTTTAACATTCATTTCTTTTCACACTACACTTCCCACTTGCACTGAGGCTTTAAAACACCCTCACTTTTGAGCATTTGCATAAGGAGTTAACGGCTTAGGTTGTTCCAATATTAACATTTCTTAAGGGATAAGGCTGGTGATATTCTATATTTTTCAAAAAGGCAGGAAGGGAAATCTGAAAGTACCGAGAGAAACAAACGCATCGTTGACTCGGGCCTTTCTTTACATGAAGAAAATATTACCACGCTTATCCAATAGTGTTTTGTAGAAAATGCTGCTAAAATAATAAAAATATATCTTGCAAATATTTTATAGAAATAGTTTACACTAATAGGCATTTAGACGACATGAGCCAGCAGTGCAGGGCAGGCTTTGTGTCCAGTGTGTTTGGAATGAAGGGGAGAAAGTTTTTTTTGTATAGTATAGAGTAAGTTTTCTTATATAGCTTTATGGTATCAAGATTTTTAATAATGTGTTTTTGCATAGTAGCTATTGTCTCAGATTATTTAAAGATTCATCGAATAGTTTAATGGTATTATAACAGAGTGGTTTGCCTAATTGTATAATAAGGAAACCTTAAATCCCTACCTCCTTCTCCCCTCCCAAAGAAAGAATAGTTGAAATTTACTAAATTGTCCTTCCCTGCTCCCTTACAGTCAAGATAGCGGTAAATATAACAAAAACAGGAATGTATTCATCTCTTATCCACCTTTGGTGGATCAAAAAATATTATTGGGTATGGAATTAATCTGCAGATGCAAAGGTTCAAAAGATGAGACAAAACTTTTCTATGGATGTCAGATTCTGAGCCACGACAAAGGCCAAAATGTGCCCTGCAACAGACTTGTAAGCCTGGTTTTTCGCGTAGAAATGACTTTCGTAAACTGGCGAGTACTGCTGAAAAGTCTCAGCTTTAAGATAGGCTCAGGCAGTAAAATAGGTTTTTCAAAAATTGTTCATCACTGCAACCACAAGAGTTCCTTGAGCACACAGTAAGAAATGTGCGCAAATATTAGGCTGATGGGTCCAGTAGTATGGCGAGATTAGTTGCAGACATACATACATAATTCATATTTTGTCAGTTAAAATGTCAACCAATTCATAAGAAAAACAGAACAACAGAAAATGATTCCTGTTTTCTGTAAAATACCTCTCAGCTAAAGAATAATTGAAGTAGCTAAAGAGGGTTCCGGGTTACCATTATCATCATCTGGTGGGTCAATGGGAGGCTGTGAGTAGCAGCCGCCAGGGAGGATGGTGATGTCATCAAGAGCAACGTCCCCACCTGTGTTCATCCCCCGCTGATACACAAACACAAACTGTGACAAAAACAAGAGTTCAAATTCAGCAATCAGAAAATTCACACGCTCTTTCATTCTCCTGCTTGCTAATTTACGAGCAACTTTTGTTACTGATTTTCAGTCAAACTAGCAATTAAAAAACATAAAAATGATTCTGATGAAACCTTTTATCAGCTTATTATTACCCAGAATTCTTCTTTATGTTTAATAGGCACAGTGGCCTCCAGCCACTTGTCTCCCTTGTTTCCCGTCTCAGTCCACTTCAGAATCCCTTCTTCGTTGTCACCACTGTGCTGTTTTCTACAGGACAGGACAGAACAGCAGCAATTTAATTTATGGAAAAAGCATTGAAAATGCTATCAGAGTACAGTTCATGTTTAATGTTGCTATTCCGCAGACATGAGCAGCTAGTCACCTGTCGTTTATGTAAACTCTGAGAGTCCCAACGTGGTTGCCATACATGTGGTACCAGAATGTCAGACAGAGACCTCTTGTGGACGGCTGGAACACATCACTGATGAGGAAGGACATGTCTCCCCACTCACCCACTGAGCTGTCCACATACATATAATAACCTGGTGGAAACATGATGCAAGATCACTCAAACATAATGTGATTTCATGAAATGATATAGTCAACCCTCACTTCAAACAACATCTGGTATGCTAAACTAAAGATACCATCATGTGCATTCATGACCTGCTCATTGACAAATCCAGTCAGATGTGTGCTGTGGTGGTGGTTTTAACTGTACTTCTCATAAGATACGGACATGGTGAGGGTGATTTATTTTGCTTTGGTCCAGGTCTCTGGAATAAACTGCCTAATTACCCAAGGTCAACAACAACCGTGACCACTGTTTAAAAGCAAACAGAAAACTTCATTTTTTAATTATCATAAGCCTATTTTCACAGGCTTATTACAAGGTACTTAGATCATTTAGGTGTGTGTCTCTCTTTCTGTTTCATCCATCCGCTTATCCTGCATACAGGGTCGCGGGGTGTATGTACATGTATTTTAATGAAAATATATGTATAGAGTTTATTAGAAATAAAAGATTCTATATAAACAAAGGTGCCTTGTCTTACTGTCCTTTTCATACAAGAAGTGATGGGTTAAAATCAATTTTTTTTTTTTTAATTTTATATCAAAATGGATCAGATGTGTGTGATGTTAAAAGGGTTGCTAATAGTGATGAAGTGCTTTATTGGCGACTCTGCCTCATTCAACATACAATTTAACTGTCTTTCAGCTCGTTGTCTGGCTTTTTTAGGTTTTCTCTCTGCCCTCTATGTCATTTCCAGAGGCAGCAGGCAGCTCTTTTCAGCGAAAAACTCTAAAAACAGTGCACCACTGAACAGCGCACAGACACAGTTAGCAACTAGCTGGTGAACATAGTGGAGAATTTTGTAGCTGAAGAGTCAGATATTTCCCTCAGGAGTTGGCGGAGAGCAAAAACAGAGCTAAAAGGAGAGTGAAAGTTGGCCTTATGTTCATCAGGTTGTCAGAAACACAACTCAAAATGAATGCTTTATATCTGCTCAATGTGTAAATGAGTATTTGTTTAATAAGTTTTCCATATCAACTTATGGTATGTTAATGATTTGTTTACAGCGTGTTTCTGCTGCCCCCACCTGTCCAAAAAAATCTGTTACTGCGAGTGCTTAAAACGTTTTATCCACTACCCACAAAACACTTGCTCACTGTTGTTTGTATTTCCCTATAAAGTCTTGATTTGCCATTGAGTAATGAGCTACTAGAAGTGGATTTTAGTGAGTAAAACAAATGTAAACTGGTTGCTGTGAATCTCTTCATTACTGCTCATTAATGCAGTTGTGATGTACAACGGAATCAGTGGCATGACATTTCTGTAAGTTTCAATAAATTGGATTTGATCACACCCACGTGCACACTGTTTAAACCTAGAATCAAAGATTTCCATAATATGTATTATTACCGTGGTTTGAGTTGGTGGTGTGATCGACACTGGGTCCCGTATTGGGATTTGGGGAGGCTCCTCTACCGCGAAGCCAGTCCCCCTGGTCGACTCCTCCTCCCAGGTTGCTCCAGCTACACGTGTTGCGCTCAAAGTCACAACGTCCAGGAGGAGGACACTGAGCATCTGTCAGCTGAACATCATCAAAAGCCATGTCTCCCTCCTGGGTGGGGCCAGCTTTCACACCTTCCACCACGATCTAAAACACAACGCATGGGCTGATGAAAACTGCCCACTGTAAATATTTATATATAATTTAAATCATCCTAGTCGCATTATATCACATTCTAGTCTCATTTTAACACCGCTGTAGACTCAAAGCAATCAAATCAGTGGCTATCGAAGGGATGGAAGAAACTCTAAAGTAATGGAAATTTATGCTCGTTTTGTTTAAATTAATTGCATGGACTGTTAAAGGATCAGTTCACCGAAATTATTATTATTAGTCTTTACTAATTTTGGGCTAAAAGTTCCTGATGTTGTTTTCATGAAATGTTTTGCTTAAACAATATGGAAGAAATGTTCCATGACATTTTGATTTACCTCCATGTACAGTGGTGGAAGAAATACACAGACCCTTTACTTTAGTTTACTTTTGTGAAAATACTAAATTACAAGTAATAGTCCTGAAATAAACATGTTACTTATGTAAAAGTACAGAAGTATTACCAAAAATAATGTCAGTGTTGAGTAAAAGTATTCATTATGTAGGCTCAATGGCCCGTGCCAGATTTATATTGTTACACAATATATTATTGCATAACAACTACTAAATCAAGCTGTCAAGTAAATGCTGTGAAGTAAAAGTGATATAGTGAAATATAGTGGAGGTAAAATATAAAGTAGCACAAAATGTTGACACTCAAGTAAAGTACAAGTAGCTTAAAACTGTACTTTAGTACAGTGCTTGAGTGAATGTACTACCACCATAGTACATGTACACATCTCTTTGCCTCTGTGTGTGTTTGAATAGATGTTTGTGACTCACCCTGTAAGGCTGAACTCGAGGCAGAAGTGAAGCCTGAGCAAATCTCCACAGCCGGCCCTGGTCTCCTGTCTGAGAGAAAATCAGAGCTTCCTTCCCTTCTTTGCTCTGCTGGTAAACGTTCAGCATCCCCATTCCTTTGCCATACATGTGGTACCACAGCTGCACACAAGCTCCTTTGCCTGAATGAAGGGAATCCATATCAAATGTAATTCCACGACTGAAATATCACAAGTAAAATTAAGAGTGTGTTGCAACACATTAGACTGCTTAGATGTCCAGATATTTGTGTTTTATTGTAGAGAAAGGCAGTGGTGGACTTTCCATTTTATTCTACTTTATACTTACTACTTATACTGTACTCCACTACATTTCAAACAATCAACTGATTTATTGAGAAAAAAAGTAGTTGCAGACAAAAACTCAGCAGAATAATTAAATAAATTAGAAGGCCAGGAAATATTCAGACTGGTGACTGTCTCACCTGCAGGGTACAGCGGTGAAGACATTTTAGCTGTCTGTCCGGCGCGGTCAGCAGCAGAAGAGGACAGGTAGTAGTAGTGGCCCGTGGGTGTGTTGGTGGTGTGGTCGCTGTCTGGCCCAGTGTTGGGGTTCAGGGTGGAGCCCGACTGTCTGACCCAGTCAAAGTCATCCGTGGTCTGTTGCTGCCAGTTACAGCTCCCCTCCTCGAAGTCACACATATCTACAAGATAATAATTTGGAAAGCATTGTCAGAAGCATGCATGTATTTAGCAAAGAATAATTTTTTTAGCAAGTTTAGCACTCACTAATTTATTGCTAAAATACTGTGAATGGGACTAAATCTAAACAGGATGTTAAACAGCGACTTAACAGGTCACCCACAGTGCTTGTTTTCCTTTTTTCTTTGAAGTCCATGACAACCCTTCAATTTGTGATTAAATGTCTAATCTTGTCATAGTATATCTCTGTCTGCATGTTGTTTACATGTATACTGTATGGGCTTTGTATATTCATATTTATCTTCTCCTCTGCCTGATTCCTCCATGGTCATTATTTTCTTTCTGCACTGTCACCAAAAAGCTGACATTATTCTGTATTTTTCTTGTTGTCAACAATCCTATGAAAAGACCAAAACCAACAGGTGTTCCTCAGCCTTTCTGGCTCTCAGTTGCAAGCACATTTTTTACCACTGAAGATGCAAATCTTACTCATTTAGGACGAAACTGTGCATTTAATGGGGACTATTTTCAGCAGGCAGAGTTGGTATTTACAGCAGCAGGACAGTGTCTGTGGTAATGACTCAAAAAAAAACTAATGAAAGAACATGTCACCCAGTGCAACAGTGTGTATTATTAATATATAAATAGGAGCTATTTGGCACAGAGAAATAAAATATATCAGGTATCAGCTACACAGACAATAACTATTAGGGGGTTCAGTTCATTGTTAGTTTTAGTCTTTTCATAGGATTGTTGACAAAAAGAAAAATATGCAATATGGACAGGCTTTTCCTTTAAATATAGGACTACGTGTATCAAGACATCTCTACTATCACATAAAGCTAGTGACAAACACTAAATAAATGGGAGGTAAGGAGGGAGATAGACAGCATATTTTGTTTTATTGCCCATAGATATAAGATATATTTCCCTTGGCAAAGACAGTTCTTAAAAATGTGCTCAAGTTTTTCTTGCAAAATGATTTAATAATGAATCACTTTAAAAATAGTTGAAAAAGAACTAGAAAATCACAGTCTAGTAAACCTCCTAACTTTCTGTGATTTTCAGTCTTATTACCAGAGGCAGGACATGGTCCACTGATGAGAGAGATGTCATCAATGGCTATGTCTCCTGCCTGTCCTCCCACTGTAGCCTCCAGAATCACTTGGTGGACTTTCTGCAGGGTCACATGGATCTGCACAAGCAGCCACTCATCCCCTTGATTTCCTGATCTTTGCCACACCTACAGGAAAGACAGGGTGCTGATTCACTCGTCACAATGAGGATGTGAGGAGGTTTGTGCAACACCGTGGTATGCGCTGAAACTGTGCAGCTTGCACTCATTATACAATGCATTAATGTTGTTTTGCAATCAGCATTTCACAACCATGTGAAAAGTATAATAACAGAGAGAAAACCCAGCCGGAACAGTTACAAATATTTCTCAATAACCCTCAAAGCCGTTTTTCTAACGCTTTCATAAAGGGAAGTCCAGATACACAGTTATTAATGAAAACAATCTGGCCATGTCTAACCTCTTATATCTTTGCTTGGTAAAACATACGATAAAGTCATTTATTTCCATTCATGTTTTACCAATATTTTCTTCAAGGGATCAGCTGTTTGTAGAAACATCCTCAAAGAGCCCACAGTGGTTCCAAACATATGGTGCCAAAATGTGAAACAGTATCCTTTTTCACCAGCAGGTGGCAGCAGTGACGACTTCAGCTGGGCCATATTTCCCTTCACACTTGGCGGGGAACTCTTGATGAAAAGGTATTTACCTGCGAAAACAACATAAACGGTAGTTCTAAACCTTTCTGGCTGTTGACCCCCTAACACAAAGAAATGTGTACTTGCGACTCTTTGACACAGGTTGCATATCATATCATATATCTATGAGCAAAGATCAAAGAAGTTAGTTTTTTCTTGCTTCTGATTCATCCTGCTTAGATTCATCCTGTGACCCCTGGGGCGCCCCTGCCCCCAGGTTGGGAACCACTGCCATACAAACATGTTGCTATTCGGTAAAGTAATTATGTGGTACTGTCCATCAGTGATGTTTGTCATAATTTCACATTGTCAAATTTAAGCGAGACAGTGTAACTTTTAAAACTGTCAATGACATAATCCTATAACCTCTCACAAACAAAACTTTACACTCATAAGAAATAAATTGCACCACTGTTCACTAGCATGACTGTAACTGACAGTTGATTGTGACAGTAATTTTCCAGTAATACTCACTTGTGTGGCCACAAGTTACAAAATCTTGCCCTAATGGAAAATTCTCATTTATCAACTGACAATGATGCACTCTCGGTACTGAATGTAATTCATAAGTACACTACTCTGCTATTCTGTTATTTGTATAATGCTTTAGGACACAGCTTGTAGAAAGATAGTCTAGAATAAAAGTGACCTTTGCCAGTAGTGTGGTCTCCTGCAGGCCCGGTGTTGGGGGTTTCAGTGGGACCAGAGCTGCTGAGCCACTCCAGCTCATCTTCAGCCCCCTGCACCCAAACACACAGACCTTCTTCAAAAGAACAGCCGCAGGCAGACAGAGCTGAGGAGAGAAAAATAATTTCAGAACTAGCCAACTATCCTCCCAAATGCTCTATGTCCTGTAAGTTTTTACAAAGAACACAATTTATGAAGCATACTACTACTACTTGCGTCCAGTACATGCACATTAATGTTGATGTAATCTTTACCTGGTGGTTGGTAGGATTTTTCACAGTTTAGAAATGAGATATCATCCACAGCAACAATGTGATCTCCTGCTGTAGTGTCCGACTGAGTCACTTTATTCATGCTACTGAACCAAACCTAAGAATAAAAATGGTTACATTCATGCGTTCCTCAAAAACATTTCCAACATTCACACAGCACCCTCATCCTTATGCACAGCCTACGCTACTGATATTCCCATCACATACTCTGTTTTGTTATGTTATGCATTTGTTTCCTTAATAATTTGCCTTGTTTAACCAATGGAGTGCCTCAGTCTTTTTCATGGCCTCATGAGGCAGGCTGTGACAGTGATATTTTAACAATATTGTACATTTAGATAAATACTCAGTTGCAAGTTACTGGTACAGCTGGCTAAAACTAATGTAGTCTAATACAACCATCCTGTTAAAAGTTTTTGCTAGAAATGTTTATAACCGTATATATATATATAGTACATACAAATGAGGATATACAAATGAGGATATAATAACATTAATAATAACATGATTGTAAATGGACTGTACTTGTATAGTGCCCTTCCAGTCTTCTGACCTCTCAAAGCACTTTACACTACATGTCCCATTCACACACATTCACACACTGATGCTACCATGCAAGGTGCCATTTACTCATCAGAAGCAGAAACTAATCATTCACACAATTTGGGGTTCAGTATCTTGCCCGTGTACTTCGACATACAGACTGGAGTAGCTGAGGGTCAAACCGGTCTTCCAATTAGTGGGCATTAACTACATAACATGTTTTGTTTTTTAACATTCAGATATACTGCAAATGTATGCAATATTGTACATGGCGATATTTTTTACACTATACAAAAGTAGCATTACTTAACGTATTCTGCAATAAATGGAAAATATAGAATTCTAAATGTTCCAAAACGTATTGTACATATACAATATGTTTTATAAGTACTTGTGCATTTACTTATTTGATCTTTATTCTTTGTGAATATAGATGAGTGACGTATTAAATAAAAAAACACCTTAAGCTCTCATGACAGTCTAAGTATTGAACTGGATTGAGATCTGATGACTGTGAAAGCAGTATAATAATAATGTGATTCAACCATGTAGTGTCACCCTCGTGCCCTGTTTGGAAACTTCTTCATTCATTATGTTTTTAGACTCATTTAATGTGCATTTTTCTTTATCTGCCACTCATCTGTATATCCTTTTCATTAGTCTTAAAACGTTAACTGTTCAAAATGTGAGCACACACCTTATAAGGTTGCTGGTGTGGGCTTAGAGGCAGATGTTCTGGGGTCCAGTGGGAGATAGTGTTGTGACTGCGTGACCACAGGATTGCTTCACTCCCCTCAGCTTGCTGCATAAGCACTCTGAGTGACCCAGCACTCTCTGCACTGATGTGGAAGTGAAACCTGCGTTAAGGAAAGAAGGAAGGAAGAAGGGGAGAGAGGGGATTGGGAAGAGAGTTGCGTGGTAGAGAGACAGAGGCGGTGGGGAGCATTGAGCAATTCATACTTTAAATATTCAACTTCGTATCAAAACAAATATTTTACAAGGATGATTATAAGAAAGATGCAGCCATCAGTGTCATGGTTTCACTTACAGAATCTGGCAGTAGGGGGATGAAGGGGTGAGTGCGGGACTCTGGAGTCGGGCCTCACTCTGTGTAGACCCCTGACTAAAATTCACTCTCATGTAGTAGCCTTAGAATGAGGGAAAACATCCTGAATTTCGTAAACAGTGCAGTTATGATCATTTCTGGGTCATGCCATTTCAGATGTTGAACATCTTGAATTCTTGTGCAGTGAGTGCATAAAATCAATACACTATTCAATCGGTCAATAAACCACTAAAGCCACCTGTGTCTGTAGTGTGATCAGTGGGCGGCTCAGTGTTGTTACTGGCTTTTTGTCTCTGCCACCTGCTCTGTCCATCACTGGTGTCAGTCCATCGGCACTGGTTACTCTCAAATGTGCACGGACCTGAAAGTTTAAAAGGCAGGCGTGAGTAATGCTGCTGGGGGGTGAGTATTGGTTCATGAATCACGGGGGTAGGGGGGGGGGGGGTAATACAAGTCTGGTCCTCACAAGCAACAAGCAGACAACTGCACACACGTCTCTGACTAAAACTGCCTCAGATATCACATTTCTTCTCACATGTAAAACTACAGATCATCAGAGCAGATCTCAGGACTGGCTTACCCTTGACACCCCATGAGTAAATACAGAACTTGGGAGGACTACCTCATATAAATGTAATGCATGACAAAAAGCAATAAAACTTGACATTCTGATCACATTGCGTAAATTTGATTTAGATTTTTTGTTTGTGATTCTTTGCAGTGCTGTTTGGCTGCTTTTAGCTGTGTGTCTTATCTCTGTTCTATTTCACTACTGTACTCAAGTTTTAACAAAACAGGTACTGACTACCTGATTAAATAAAAGGTAGGCCTAATTATATTATTGTTTTTGTCTTTGTCAATCCGTTACAGCTATATTAGCATGCATATACTTTCTGACTGATTTCAACAATACTGCCCTACAAAGACAGCCAGCAGTAACTGCAGTGATGTTAAGAAAAGGGTTAAAAGGCGACCTATTATACTGCTTTTCCTATATTGTTGTTCTGTGACTCCTGTATGGCAGCTTTGCATGATTCTCTATCTTATAGAGGCCCTTCCTGTGGACCTTCATTTCAGTCTCATGTAGACCTTCATTTCAGTCTCTGTCTGAAACAAGCTGTAGATGCTCCTGTCTCTTTAAGCCCCCCCACCACTGTCTTCTAATTGGCCAAGACATGAAGCATGTTACCAGGCTTTTGTTGATACTGAGTGTGATTGTGAAGGGAAAACAACAAAATATTTTTTTAGCTGTCACCTCTATTTAGACCCTCCATTTGTTAGGATAGGATTTTAATGTATCTCTGTTTTTTTGTCGGTTCTTCTACCGTTAATATTTATGTTAAAATCAATAAATTAAACAAATTTGCAATTGAGTACATTTAACCCATGTTATTCCCAAGAGTCAAAAGCTGCAATGACAGCTGCTAAGCTGGTTAGCTATAGCAGAATTTTAGCTTAGATTGAGCTACTGCTTCATTTAGTTATATGAATTAATTTGTTTAATTACTGAATATGTTAATGAATCCACCTGCATAAACATTTAATTGTTATTGTAAGACATTGTATACTGCTGACAAAATGATGGTAGCATTGGTACTGCAGGTCTCTACAGCAACACGCTGCTCACCACAGTCATCCTCGTCCTCCCCCTCGGGGCAGTCTGGTTGATAATCGCACTGTAAAGTAGCCAGAATACACACTTTCCCAGCGGACCGCCAACAGAAAAACTCATTATCCTGCAACACCAAAAAAAGAAGGTGGATTATTTTCAGCAGGTTTACAGACTTGTTTTGTGGAATACTTTATGTTTCACAGAATTGCTTTGTCACGTAGTTTACCTGACAGGGGTGGGTTGGTACGGTTGAGGTTGAGGGTGTGGCGGCAGAAGTGGGTGTGTTAGAGGATGTAGGTGGGGCAGAGGTGGGCAATATGTTGTTGTCGGGGTCAAATACACACTCCCTGGAGAAAGAGATATCGTCCAGCGCAACCAGCCCTCTGCGACCATCACCTCGCTCATATCGGAATACAATCTGACAAGATAATCGAAAAAAGAAAAAAAAACATTCTGACCTTGTTGCTAACTTTTCATGAACATCAGCGATAAAGCAAATCATAAACAAAGTATCAAAGTAAAGTCAAGTCCAAAGGTGAGTTTTTTTTTTTTTGTACCAAAAGCTAAAACTACTTTCTATAACCACCAGTGTCATTGATCTGAATCTATTTAAATTTGTATTAATTGATTTTTATTAGCAAACAATGGCTTATCAACACATCACACAGACATAAAGCAATATTATCATTTATTTTGAGTCATGATTCTGGCCACCTGGTGAAGCGAAGTCCCATTTTCATTCTCCTTGTAGCGCATGTTTGGAAAATATCAAGCTCCTCTATATTTGCCAGCTAGTTGCTAACTGTGTCTGTCTGTATACATGTGAGTTTGACTTTGAGCATCAACTTTCACATTATATATGATAGAGTTAATAACCTCAGCAAGTATTTTAATAAATTAATGCAGGAATGCAGGAAAGCAGAGCGCAGATGGAAAAAATCCAGTCTCCAAGTCCATTACCTCAGTCTGAAGGATTTATTAATTAAATACAATAACTTGGTTAAGGATGCGAGAACACACAGCACTGAGACTGCCCTGCTTAAAGTCACCAATGACCTTTTGATGTCTGCTGATGAAGGCATGTGCTCAGTCCTAGTACTCCTGGACCTTAGCGCTGCTTTTGACACCATTGATCACAACATCATGTTAGACAGACTGAGGCACTGGGTGGGGATCTCTGGTACTGCCCTAGAATGGTTTTCATCCTACCTGTCAAATAGGAAGTTTTGCGTGTCTGTAAACAACTATGTCTCTTCGTTCTGTCCAGTTAAATATGGTGTGCCTCAGGGGTCGGTCTTAGGACCCATTTTGTTTTCCTTGTATCTGCTTCCCCTTGGACATATTATCCATAAACATGGCATTTCTTTTCATATTTATGCTGATGACACACAAATATACTTGCCCGTCAGATCCACAGACCCTGGAATGCTGAGTTCACTTAACAACTGCCTTTGTCAAGTTAAAAAATGGATGTCAAATAATTTCCTCCAGCTGAACTCAGACAAAACAGAAATCCTGGTCATCGGGTCCCAACAGATGGCAAATCAAATACTGCCATCTGCTGGTTCCCTAGTAAATCACATTAAGCCTGTGGCAAAGAACCTTGGTGTCTGGTTTGATAGTAATTTAAATTCCGAGCAGCACACCACAAAGCTTGTTCAATCATGTTTATATCAACTTAGAAATATAGCAAAAATTTGATCTATGTTAACTTTTGAGGACACCAAGACCATTTTACACACCTTCATCTCATCACGCCTGGATTATTGCAACAGCCTTTTCACCTGTTTAACCCAAAAATCTATTGATCGACTCCAGACTGTCCAGAACTCAGCTGCCAGGCTTTTAACCAGAACAAAGAAATATGACCACATTACCCCTATTTTAGCTTCATTACACTGGCTCCCAGTATGTTTTAGAATTGACTTTAAAATTCTATTGATCACTTTTAAAGCTCTTCATGGCCTCTCGCCTTGTTATATTTCTGACCTTTTAGTCCCATACGCACCAGCACGCACCTTGAGATCCTCAGGCAGAGGTCTGTTGTCTGTTCCAGAGTCTCGACTGAAAACTAAAGGGGACAGAGCGTTTGCTGTCGAGGCTCTGGAACAGCCTGCCCAAGGAAATCAGGTCGGCTGAGTCAGTGAACTCTTTCAAGTCCCTTCTTAAAACATACTTTTATAGGAGAGCCTTTCCCGATCTTATTTGACTTTATTTTATCCCTTTTATTTTATTGTATTTTACTAATTTTATATTTATCTTAAACGTGTATTTTAGTCTTTTCAATGTTTTCATGCTTTTGTCTTGTATTGTTTTTGTATTATTCTCTCTTGGGTATTATTGTCTTTACACTTGTTAAAGCACTTTGTAACTTGTTTTTGAAAAGCGCTCTACAAATAAAGATTATTATTATTATATTATATTATTATTATAAATGTGAGATTCAATGTCATTTATTTAGCTACCTGTGGTTCACTGACCTTGCTATTGTCTGAGGAGGAGAATGTGACCTCTGCTTTCTGCCAGCTGTAACTCTGTGAGTTTTCCCTGAGCCACAGCACAGTGTCATCGCTACCAGACTGTAGCGTCCTGGACTGGGCTGTCAGTCTGGCTGCAGCATCGTCCAGGCTGAAGTAGAAGAATCTCACCTATATGGATAAAGTAAGTGGGGTGAAGTGAGGTACAGAAAAGAAGGTGATGATGTGCTTTGAAAACAAGAATTAACTATTTGTTGTTGCTTAATTAGCTGAACAGTCTTATGTTCAACCTTAAAGAGTGGTTAATAACGTCCTGCAGATCAGAGATTAACCTAAGACAGATAATAAAAGCTACACACTCATAAACAGAAGCAAGAAGAAGAGAGCAAGTTATCACTGTAACATATTCAGAAGCATTCAGAAGTTTTTATTTGTGCTGTGCCAAATAAATAAAGCAATAAATACAGAGATTTATGTGGCTGTCATAAGAAAACTAAACACACATCTGAGATGCATGCTAACGGCATTCCCATAACTCGTTAAACTAAGATGTTGAACATGGTAAACATTATACTTGTTAATAATGTCTTGACTCGAAAATGGATTTTACCACCTACGTCTACTCACAGTGCAGTTAGAGCTGGGTAATAAGGTTCTGGAGAGAATCTCTGACGTCTGGCCCTTCTCAGTCAGGTGAGTCCCAGGGATGACATAGTGACCTGTGTCATGAAATTAAACAATGCAGTGAAATGTTGAAGTATAGCATTACTGATTACAGAAGACAATTAATAAGAGTACATTAACCATCTAGTCAGGCAAGTTATTCAGACCCATAAGGATTATCTCAGTGCCAGGAGAGACTAATACCTGCAGCAGAGTTGTGGGTGTGATCCCTGGGAGGCCCATGTTCGGACCAGGCTTCCTGTCCTTTGTGATGCGTCCACTCAGCTCCAGGTGTGTCCACATCACTTTCTGCCCAGGAACACAGGCCCTGTTCAAAGCTGCAGCGCTCCACAAGACCTTGTTGCTCTGCGTTGTTATCATCAGATAAAAGAGAGTGAGATGTAAACAAGTCATAAACTGCTCACCAAAACCATCAACCTGTAGATGTGTAGGGCTGCAACAACACTTATTGTCATTAGTAATCTGTTGTTTAATTTAAAGATTAAGTGATTCTTAGGTTGGCCTATAAAACATCAGAAAACTATGAAAAATGCCAATGACAGTTTTCTAGAGCCCACCATGATATTCAACTTACTCCAATGTAAGACAGGGAAAAGCAACCAATTTTAGCCTTTGAGATGTTAAAAAGAATGTTTGTCATTTTTGATTTTGAAATTATAAACAATGTTCAGGACAAGGTGAAGACTAAATAATACTACATTTTTCACCAAAACTATTCTGTGTTATGTGCCAGAATAACTGATTTAATGATCATACTATCCTGTTAACTTCTAGGCTAGCTAATATCTGACTTTAAGCTGCTGATTTTTGTAAATCTTCAGCACACAGAGAGTGCACGGGACTTTATATATGTGCATTTACTGAACTGGTGCATTCAGTAATTCTAACATATTTAACAGTACTTAATGATGATATCTCACCACAGTTGTTCTCATCAGACCAGTCCCCACAGTCATCACTGAAGTCACACACTTGGTTGTGCTCAACACACACACTGTTGTTGCAGGTGAACATGTTCTCTGGACATAAGGGTTGGGGCTCTGAGAAGAAAAAACAAATATATCATAGATCAGCTTAACAAAGGGGCTGAGAAACCCATTGTAGAGTGTGCAGGTAGAGCAGGTAGCCTACCAGGCAGGGTGCAGTTTGTAAAATCTATGTCATCAATGGCAATGTGTCCAGGCTTGGTGAAGGTCCTGGAGGCTTCAAACAGGACGGTGAAGTCCTGAGGCATTCGACCAACCGTTACCTCAGCGTGATGCCACAAATCTCCATGGTTACCAGATAGCCACCACAGCGTGGTGGTCCTGGAGCCCCCATTTAGCGCCACACTCAGCTCCTCTATGTCTGTAACAATGTACAGAGTTAAAGATTACATGCAGATGTTATTTTATTGGCTGCACACTTACACTCGCATTTTCAAAACATACCTTCTCCATACATGTTGTAGTAAAAGTGTAGTGTGCAGGTGGCGCTGGCCTGTTTCATTTTGGGACTCTGCACAGCAGCAGGGCTCATTTGTTCTCCTCGGTCAGACTGCACTGCCATGTACCAACCTGGAAGAATCAGGAAAATCCCGAAGCATCACCCTTTATTCTTTATTCCTTACAGTCAGTGGTAGGGCTGCAACTAACAATTATTTTCATTGTCGATTATTTTCTTGTTATTGAATTTGATTAGTTGTTCGGTCTATAAAATGTGAAGTAAGTGAAATATATCGATTAGAGTTTCCCAGAGCCCAAGATGACGTCCTCAAATGTCTTGTTTTGTCTGCAACCAAAATACTTGTAGTTTACTGTCATAGAGGAGTAAAGAAGCTGAAATCAGATAATGTTTTCATTAAAAAATGACAGATTAATCAATAATGGAAACAGCTGGCAATTACTTTAATTACTATTTGATTATTCAATGAATTGTTGCAGCTCTAGTCAGCAGTACAAAACCATTGCAGTAGAAAATTTTAAGTATGGTAGATCTTCCAAATGGAAAGGGTATGGATAAGTGGTGAAGATTTTTTAGCACAATGGTGGAGAATTAGAGAGTGAATAGAGCATTTTTCTTCACAGGTATGCAGCTTACAGATAATAAACTTCCTTCATATTCAATTGAACTGCAACTCTGTATGCAATGTGTGGTCTGTTGGATTCTTTTTGATGAGGAGGCATCATGATTTGTGGTTTCCCCCAATTTTTGACACCTGTTTCAGTGCCCTGTGTCATATGTTTTGGAGTTATGGAAGTTACATAACAGCATAACTCAATAACAAATCACAGTAAGTATAGATTTCAAGTTTAGCATAGACTATATCATTAAAATCGAGGAAGCCCAAGTCTGAACAAAACAAGGATGGGGATGTAGAAACTGTGGCTAACACTACCCACAGGCAGCATTGCCACCACACATATTGAAAAAGGGGAAACACAAGAGACATCTCACTTCCATATTGAGCATATTTTACTCTTGTCACAAACTTCTCATTATAACACCCATAACATATTTTTCTGGTCAGAAATTAATGATCAAAAGTGGCTAAAAGATTTTGATGCTGCCTTCGTTGGCGGTTTGTAACTATTATTGGTAATCTGGGTTATTTTATGAATGGAGTCCAGACTGCACACAGATTATGTTTATGTTTTTACTGATTTAATTCCAGTGGAGCATCAACAATTTTGGTAACCCCTTTGCTCTGACTTTTACTACTGCATTGTGAAATTGTGACAGTGGCCTCAAGACTAGAGAAGGGCATTGATTTGAATCTCTCCAGTATGAGACAGTCAGTCTGTTCTGTATAACGGTAAAGCAGTCCATTTGCAGATAACTTGTCCCATCATAAATAAAGGTAGTATAAGAGTGTATGATCTCACCCAGTTCAGTCCCCACTGTGTGGTCCACAGAGGGTCCAATGTTCTCAGTAGCATTCCTTCCTCTCGTCCACTGAACCTGGCCAACACTCATGTCCTCCCAGCCACACGTGCCATTTTCAAATGAACAACCCAAAAATCCCAAACTTGTTTCATTCACTACCAGAAAAAGAAAACAGTTTCATGCATTTTACTACTTAATTATCATCAAATGCATTTCAGTCATAAACTAAAGGAATAATAAACAATATCAGTACCTTGGCAAAGGCCTGGTGTGACACTGACGTCATCAATGGCAATAAAGCCTCTGTTGTTGGCCTGTGCCTCGATCAGCAGCTGAGTATGAGGTTGTTGTAGGGAGTCAGTAAAGATTGCTGCTAAAATATCCATTATTTCTCATATTATAATTATTAGTAGTATTATTTCTACCACTGAGCCCGTTTTGGGTTACCTGGAAAGGTTTGCTCCTCTCTATAGACTGAGAGAACCTGGTCCAGCTGCGTCTGCTGCTGGTGCTGTTGAACATCAGACCCTCCTCTGATGGCCCTGAACCCATGTACACCTTCAATGTCCCTGAGTCACTGACAAGCATCAGACAAATGTGATGTTTTTATATGATACGTGAAAACAACTTGAGTCAAGTTAGTTTAAACAAAAAGCATTTGTTCACTTTGCAAAGTTTTTGTGTTCCAAAAAAGTTTTTATTTAAAGAAAAAAAAAGAAAATCATTGACGTTGCTGTGAGGTTGCTCATTTTTTAACTATTACTTGTTTCATTTGTGCTACAATGACACAAATATTGTATATAACACAGTACATGCTGATATGCTGAAACTATTATTTTTATGTTCAAAATTGATTTTAGGTCTTTCATTCAACAGAGAGTAAAGAGTGAACTCTGCCACATAATATTCTCAGTCTTGCACAAAGGGGGGCAGGTGATTCATGCCTAAATGACACTTGAGCACACTTCATGAGGAAGTCAGTGAGGAAACTAAACAGGATAAAGTGCATCCTCTGCATTGTCACACACTGTATGTTGTGAAAAGGGTGGTGGCTTGTCATTTTCTTTTGCTGACCTGCTGTTCATACGGTACCATAAGGTGAGACAGGAAGTGGTATTCCTCGGTTGGATCCATTCTGACAATACCTGTGCTAGACTGCTGTGGTTTTGGTGCAGTGATGAGCTCAACAAGAACCAACCTGAATGCAAAAATAAGAATAAAAATATAATGCAAAGTGCAAACTATCAGTTGTGAATGAATTATCAGTACTGCTCATTTCTGCACTATTCAAACTCTTAGTGCAGGAGTTGATTAGGATCAAAATTAATAGAGAGAAATATGATCATTTCTAATGATTTTCAAGGTTTTCATTGTAGATCAGAAATAAGGAAATTCTTTGTGGGGCAGGGAGGTGGTAATGTCAGCAACAGAACATATGTTAGGGATAAAAGGAGAAGTTAATAAGTAACAGACTATGTCAGTTAAACAGCAACTGCAGTGCCTCATATTAGGCATAGACAGCTGTAGAGCTAACTGTCACATTTTCCAAAACATTTTTGTTCATTTAGTACCAATCATCATTTTGTGCCTCCACAGTTACTGGCACCCTTAAAGGCGCGGCCACAGCTGAATATGGAATTTTATAGCTGCATTAATACATTTTTTCCGGCATGAGTTTGGAGCTGTGAACAAGCTGTAACCACAAAACTGACATTTTATCACCTTAAAAGTTGATATGGTGAAAGTGAATGTATATATATTTGGACATCAAGCAGAGCGACACTAGCAAATGCAGTTGTGTTTGTGGTCACCTTGCTGGAGAAAAAATTCAGTACGTTTACTCCTGACATATTGTTGGGTCGGATATAAAGACTTTTTGTTTGTTTGTTGGTTTCTTTGTCTTAAAAGATCTTTTTACTGGGGCTCACTAATATAAAATGGAGATATGTGAATTCTACTTTTGTTACATGTTTATCTTATTATATTGAAGTATATCTAAAGTTGTACCCTCTGGGGTCTGAGTGGTGTGGTCTGTCGGTGGACCCTGGAAGCCTCCACTGGCCAGCACCCAGTCATGTCCATCTTCTTTAGGGACATTGACCCAGGTGCACTGTCCGGACTCAAAGTCACAGCTGCCTGGAGGACTGCAGACCCCATCCCTCACAGAAATATCGTCTAATTTCACTGTAGAGTTAGTGCCTGGCACATAGACTGACTTGAACACCACCTGGTGAAGGACATAAACGTTTTCAGAAAGCAGCTTAGCGACTCACTGGGAAAGAGACAATTTGATTTGCAGAGTGTGCGAGGAGAGGGATCGTTGTAAAAACCAGCTTACGTGGAATTTTGCAGGGGAGGACACAGTGACCTCTGCCACCTCCCAGCCTGAAGAGGGCGCTCCAGACCGTTGCCAAAGTGCATCACCCAGCTCTCCGCTCCGCAGAACATGCACGGCGAGGATGTCAGAAGGCCCTGCAGGTAACCAGTACCTGAACAAATACAGTAGATACACAAACATTAAAATCTGCATTAGACAACAGTGTATAAATGTGTGTGACGGCAGCACTGGACTCACCAGAAGCGTACACATAACTCTGCAGCTGAGGTGATCTCAGGTGTGAGCAGCTGAGCTACTTCATTCTGTGTCGAGTTTGATATCATCACAGTCATGTAGTAACCTACAACAAAGACAGAGTTTGTTACAAAGGCAGTTATGGTCTTTTTGTTCAGTTACAGCATGACTGATGTTTTTGATTGTTTTGCTCTGCTTTAATTGTATTATATTTGGATTTTTCCTTCACCTCAATAGTCTGTTAAAAGCTACAGTACATGCATTATGAATTGAATAACAACAAAGGAATTTGAGACCCAACTTTAACTTACATTAAAACCTTCATCTAGTGGTGGTGAGACCACAATTTCTCTGCTACTTTCACGTATTGTCAACGAGACTTTGGTTGGTTTTGTACTGACCATTTTCAGTTCCATAGGTGTGGTCCACCTGATTTTTTGAGGCTCTTTTGTGACCCCAGCGACCCTTATGACTGACATCGTTGCCAAAGCCACACAGGTTGGAATCAAACCCACACACATCTAAAATAGTGTAAAAAAAGAGGAAAGTTGTAATAATCTCTGTAATGATGTTTTGACTTCCTGTGAACATCATCCATTGGTTGGTCTGTGTTTACGTACTCTGATTACTGCAGGGCCCGTCCCTCACTGTAATGTCATCAATGGCAATGAATCCTTTACTGTTGGTGTTTCTGTGGCCAGTGAACATCACCTGTGGATGAAGGAGGAATACATACAATATTGAATAGAAGAAAGACAATGCTTCTGTTTCTGAATTCTGTATTAACAAAACTATCCCTATAAATTAAATAAAATAAATGAAATGCATGTGCAGATTTGATCCCTACCGACAACTTAGCCTATTGCATATTGGTATCCCTATATACATCAGTAGATAACTCTCACATATTGAAATGGGCATCACCCTTAAAAATACAGCATTGGTTCGGCTTTAGAGCAAACATGAAAATGTAGCTGAATTAAATTTACCCGCATTGTATTGCTCATGCTGATGGTTACTTGTGCATTAATCCACTCTGGATTCTGGGTTCCTTGGCGAGTCCAGACTAACAGTTCAGAGGATTTCTAGAACAAAGCAAGTAATTATAGTAAAAAGTAAGAACACTGGAAGCAAAGATTGTAAGAATGTGTGAAGTAGTACTAATGAGAATGCATACTGTCTCAACCAGCAAATCCAAGGTGGATACTGAAGGCCCGAGCATGTAGTACCAGAATCCAACACAGATATGTGATGTAAGATTGATGACAGGAACAAAGATGCCTGCTCTCTCCCCATCCTTAGATCCAGATCCATTCAACAGTAAGAAGAAACCTTGGTAGACAAAGACTGTGATGCAAATTACTGAATACAACATAGCGCAATATCAGAGCTCCTTATTCCATTTCATATTTGACAAGGCGGTGCTTCCATTCAACCCAGCATTGGTTATTTTGTTTATGAACACTTACTACTGACATCTGCAGTATGTGCCAACTTTTTATGGTTTGAATGGTGGAATAGCAATAAAGTGATAACGTCAGCCATAACATTATGACCACCTGCCTACTATTGTATAAGACCCACTTTAAAACAGCCCTGACCTATTGAGACATGGACTCCACCCGACCTCTGAAGGTGTTCTGTGGTATCTGGCACCAAGACATTTGCAGCAAGCCCTGTAAGTTGCCAGGTAGGGCCTCTGTGGATTAAGACCTTTGCTCAGCGCATCCCACAGATACTCCATTGGTGTAAGATTTGGGGATTTTGGAGGCCAAGTCAACGCCTTGAACTCGTGTTAATCAAACCTTTCCTGAACTAAATTGGCTTTGAGACAAGGCTCATTATCCTGCTGAATGAGGTCCCTGCTATCTGTGAATACCGCTTCCATGAAAGGGTGTACATGGTCTGCAACAATGCTTAGGTAGGTTATATGTGTCAAAGTACGTGAATGGCAGGGCCAAGCAGAACATTGCCCAAATCATCACACTGCCTCCGCCGGCTTGCATTCTTCCCAAAATGCATCCTGGTGCCATGTGTTCCCCAGGTAAGCAACGCACACGCACCTGGCCATCCATGTAATGTACAAAGAAAACGTGATTCATCAGACCAGGCCACCTTCTTCCATTTCTCTGTGGTCCAGTTCTGATGCTCACGTGCCCATTGTAGGTGCTTTCCACAGTGAACAGGGCTCAGCAGGAACACCCTGACTGGTCTGCAGCTCCACAGCAACATACACAACAAACTGCGATGCATTGTGTGTTCTGACACCTTTCTATCAGAACCAGCTTCAACCTTTTCAGCAATTTGTCCTGGATCAGACCACACGAGCCAGCCTTTGCTCCCCACATGCATCAGTGATCCTTTGCCACCTATGACCATGTCGCCGTTTCACTGCTTTTCCTTCCTTAGACTACTTTTGATAGGTACTGACTACTGCAGACCAGGAACGCCCCTCAGAGCAGCAGTTTTGGAGAAGCTCTGACCCAGTCGTCTAGCTATCACAATTTGGCCAAGGCACCACGGCGGACCACGGTGATCGCTCTGAGGAGAGGAAAGAGAGCCAGGAGAGGAGCCATACTGGCCCAGCATGGACTTAATTCTGCTCCTAAAGATCTGGTCTGGACAAAATGGGACTCATGTTACCAAGTGACGGAATTCAGAGACTGTTGTGCCCACATCGTTACAGAGACCTGCCCTAAAAATGTTAATCAGTCGTCAAATTTATTGTTGATTTCTGTTTCTGTATCCACAGTTATAATGTATCTACCTTGGCTAAAAACACTGTTTTGACTACTAGCACATACAGTACAACAGTTACACAGATGTCTGATGGTCTTTACAGAAGTACTGTTGCTACATATGTTTTCAGGTTTCTTCTTGAATGCTTATATTATGCATATATTATTGTCAACTGTCAATACCTTGATCATTTCCAATAGTGTGATCATACTGAGGTCCATCCCAAGGCTGGTCCACTTGAAGTCCACTTCTGAGAGTCCAGTTCATATCATCACTGACCTCCTGGACCCAACTACATGGACCTGATTTACAAGATACAATCTTATATTTTAAAATATTGTATGTGTAAAATGGGTAACAGGATAAATAGACAATAGAATGTTTACTTCAAAGTATGCAAATATCCAAATGCAAATACTACTCAACTAGCCTCAAGTAAAACTAAGATGTTCACAAAACAATGGATAAAATTCACATTATTAGATATATATCGGTAAATAATTTATCTTGCCCCTGATACAGTATGATAATGTATGTTACTACATTTATGATCTTTTAAAAAACACAATGAATTAGTATTAGTAGCCTTTAGTTTTTGAAAAAAATATCTGTCAAGTCAAATATGTTCAAGTCAGCTGATTTTACTTCACTGCTGCTGAAACAGATTTTAAGTGCCTTAAGCAAGGCTCTCAAACATGCTAACAACAAGCCCTGACTTGCAGTAACCCTGCCAGCAAGGATTTAAGGTTTTTTGGTTTTTTTTTAAAGTACAAAACAAATTGAGAATTCACAGTCATTTCTGAACCGATTTTACAAGAGTCACCTTGTTCAAAAGTGCAGTCCATAGCAGAGGCAGGAGCAGTGGTGGTTGTGGTGGCAGGGTTCGGGGTGGTTGTAGGGATAATGTCATTGCAAGACTTCTCCCTGATGATGTGGATGTCATCCAGGGCAAAGCTCCCTTCCTTTGAAGCTGGACAACTCGCTTGTAAAATAATCTGTGATGAAGGATGGTTAATTTAGAAATGTGCACTGATTCATTTAGGAGCGGTGTTTTCTCAAGAAAACTTATCAGGATATATTATGAATTTATCAGCAAATATTTACCTGATGAAGCCCTGATGCACTATAATCCACCCTGTCTTGGATCCATGTGCCATTCATATATCCACTTGTATTCCACACAGAACGCAGTCCAGCAGTCTCATTTACTAACACTGTCAGTTTAATGGCTGAGGGCCCTGGAAGCACCACAATGTGCATTTATTTACAGATTTTGAGAAAGTTTCTCCTTATCCATGATTGGTTCTCACACCCCAGTGAGTATTAAACCCCTAACATACATTTTCCATCTTATTCCACACTGTCTGAAAGTATGAAATGTTCTTTATCAAATTCTTCATTGTAGCTGTATATGTATATGTATGTGTATTCTGCATATATATATACATATATATACACACACACACATATATTTGGCTGCAGTTTTAACAGTACTAACAATACAGTTACCATTCTCAATAGATAGTGCATATTGAAATATAGCTTTATAATCTACATAAAATACATGAGAATATTGTAAACAAAATAAGTGACCATACCAGTGCTTACTGTCACAGTTAAAAAAGACTGTACTTACTATTTACTGCCCATCCGTCAGTGTAGTGCCAGATCTCCAGGCAAGCTCGGTCTACTGCCTGCATTGTCTCACTCTCCAGTCGTGCAGTTTCTTCTTTATTATACTTATATGGACTGAATAATACAAAGTGCCCTATGGAGAGTAAATACAACACAATATTTAGAATAAATATTGCGCCATGCACCTGCACACAGCTGCATAATATTAGATTCACATTATGACTATTAATCAGCTGAAGTCTGAGTGGCTCCATTAATCACACAGTTTGCTATAATAGGTACCTTAGTAAGTGGAAAGGTTCATCTTACTCTGTCGCTTACCCAACTGAGACCTTACCAGCCCATCTGTTAAAGTGTGGTAGGTTCACAATTTTTCAAGTATGTCACAAAAAATATTCAGGTGCCCAAATGAACATTGAAAAAGGTTTCGCTTGCTACAATGACTCCTCCTGTTCATACCAGCCAGAGAGCTCCTTCTTATGCAATTTCAGTATTCAGTGACGGGGGACAAAATCAATAGTCCTCCTTCACGGCGGTAGCCAGGATTTTAGATATAGTGAGTCCTGCCGGGGGGTTGGAGAAATGAGGAAATCACTGTTTTCCAGTTTCTTACTGCATTAAAATCACTTTCACCATCAATCAAATTAGGCAAAAAGGCACAACTGCAGCTGCAGTAGATTAAAGGGAGAAGCTTTAGCTTAATACACCCACCAAAAATGCACACACAAGGGACAAAAGAAGAGCTGGACATTTTTTGATTTGGAATTACAACTTGATTCAAACTTATTTATTTGTAAATAAAACTAACTGACATGTCCCACAAATCAAGGAAGTCATAAAATTGTTTAAAAGATACATAGTTAATATGCCTTTAAATGAAATCTATAGCTTACCAATGCATAGCATACTGAACTGAAAAAGTAAATGTAAAAAGTATAAAAGTATTTCTCATTATTGATAAATGAGGTATCACTGAAACATTTTAGTAATAATCACTGGACACACAACTATCTATGTGTGCCTCATTTCCTGTCTGCAGAGATTCTGATACACGGAGCGCAGAATCAGAGAGCAAAAAGAATTGGGAAATCTTGTCATTCCAAAATCTTCAGCAGCACAATGACCCAGAAGAAACTGACTTCTCTCTCATATACATGAACATTTTTAATTTGGACATCTAGTAGTATATACATCAATTGGCTAAATGACTGATGCGATCCTCCATCACCATGAACCTTGCAAAAGGCAAGGCCACCATTGGAGTAGGTGATAACAGACAACGTTACTGCAACCAGGTGGGAAGTGTAACGTTATTACAATGTTTTAGCCTATTTTACACCATGAATATTTCTGTCACCGAAAATTTCACATTTTGAAAGCATAAAAGTTAATAGTTTGCGAGCTCAGATCTTGAACGCAGTTACTTGTTTTGAGTGGTAGATCAGATGAAATACAGCCTAAAATGCTACACTCATTATGATGCCATTACTTAAAGTATATGTGGGTGACTTACCCAAAGCAGAATTTGTGGAGTGGTCCTTTTTTGGAATAAATATATTACCGCCACTTTCACCTGACAGCCAGTCCCAGTCCACTCCAGTCTCTGCTGGAGGACTGTTCACCCAACCACAGAAGTCCATTTCAAAGTCACAAAAACCTGCAAAGAATAACACAAATAAGCATGAATTATGCAACCATACATACATGCATGCACAAATTATAACTACCCAACCACAAACCCACATACATTAATTTTCATCTTTCGTCCATTTTCTGTTTTAACTTTAAAGTAAGTTCACAACCTGGTGGGGGACATGCGTCATTAAGGACAATGAGGTCGTCAATGGCGATATCTCTCCTCGGTCCATCCCCGACCACCGCCTCAAAAATCACCTGTCACCCAGAACGACAAATGGATTTGAATTTATAGGACATTTTCCGTTACTGTGTTTATTCATTATTGTATACATGTATTTACTGAGGAAGTGCAGACTTCTCTCAAACTAGAGTCTCTGCTGAAAAGGTTGAATGTGAGAATCTACACATGCTGTACATGCACTATTAAACGTCTTAAAGCAATGCTCACATGCCCATATGTGCGTTAAAAGAGTTATAAAGTGCTATAATGAGTCCTCTCATCCATATCTACAGCAAAGATATCCATTTCTAAAGCAATTTCATTGCTGTTGGTATTTTCCAGCATTATAGTCTTATTTAGTTTTACTTATTTATTGTTAACTGATCATAAAAAAAAAAAACACACTCTCTTCACTCATTCCTCTTGAAGAGGGCTGTGAGTTTGAGGGTTTTGTGCAGTGTCTTAGCTGTTCTTATGACTGCACTCTTCTGGACAAAGACTTCATATGTTTTACCTGTATGTTTAATCTGCTAGAGACACTCCCAGACTGTGGGTCACAACCCCAGTGCTCTGATTACCACCTACATCTTTTCCGGCTCATCTTTCAGCCCTTGGTATTTTTTGAGCTTGTTGTGTTCCTTCTTATTGATGTTGCTGATGTTGTCAGCTGCTTGTCTCTCCATAGAGGTTCATCCTCCTCCTTGTCATCATCCTTGGGTTTTTGCTGCCAGAGGTACACTTAGCCATTCATCTTTTGGGTCCATCTTTCCAATGTACTCCAGGATCTTTGTTGTTTCATCCTGGACAGCAGTTTTGATACTCAATAGCCTTGACCTCCATAATTTCGTTTAGTGTACAGTCTCTAGGATGCTTGATTTGGGGTAAACACCATGTATTGTGAGGAGCTTTCTTGTCTTGATATCAGTGGCCCCTATCTCCTCCTTTGGCTCGTTTGTTATACCACCGGGGTATCTGAAAACTGGCAGGGCGTATATGTTGATAATCCAGATTTTGTTCTTCCCATTCAGCTGACTTTTCAGGACCTGCCTTACTCTGTGTAGGTATTTGGCTGTGGGAGACTTCGTTGCTGCCTCTTCACAGTTTCCGTTTGCCTGCGAGATCCTAAGGTATTTGTAGTTCAACCCCTTCGGTTCTGAGTTTTCCTTCTATCTCACTCATTCCTGGCATACAGCTTGATGTCATCCATGTAGAGGAGGTGACTGATGGTTGTTCAGAATTTTTGATGATCTGGCTGAGGGGGTTAAGACCTATATTAGTAGTGAATCACCTTGGTATATGCTGGACTTGATGGTGACTTGTGCAATTGGCTTTGAATTGGCTTCCAGACTTGTTTTCCACAGCCCCATTGAGCTCTTGACGAAAACTATCGTGTCCTGTTGATCTTGTACATTTCCAAGCATTCCAGTATTCATCAATGTGGCATTGACTCGTAGGCTTTCATGTAGTCAATCCAGGCACATGCACATGTTGGTCTGCCTGGTTTTGAGTGACTGCTCTATTGACCAGTAGCTGGTGCTTGGCTCCCGTGGTATTACTGCCAATTCCCTTCTGGGCCCTGTCTATCTATTGAGACATGTATCTACTCATCTTGGCCACTATGATGCCTAACAGGAGCTTCCATATTGTGCAGAGGCAGTTTTATTGGCTGGTAGTTGGATGGGATTGTTCCCTTCTGGGGATCCTTCATGATCAGGACTCTCCCATTGTAATGGTTACTGGAGACATCTTTTGTTTTTGCCCCCATCATTCATCATTTCATCATGAGCTGAATTCAAAGATCATTTTCAGCTCATGATGAATGGGGGCAAAAACAAGTGTTGCACACACACACACATTAAAATACTGTGTAAATACATTATTTGAATGGTATCTACAACAGCGATCCGGAGAGCAATAAGATGTGTGGCATCAGAGTCTTATAAGAAAAAACAAAAAAAAATAAAGGCATTAAAGCGACCAAAGTAATTCAATGTACATATGGGCATGTGAGTATTGTTTTAAGATAGACTTGAAAGAATGTGAACTATTCCTTGCATATCATTGTGATTACACTGTAATGTTTTATGTCACTGCCTAAATTACACTGTAAAAAAAAACCCTGTAAACTAAAAAAAAGAAGACATATGCATGTGTGGTGATGGTACATCTCAAGGGATTATTCACAGCTGTTGGATTCTGTTAAAAATGCAGCACAGAATTTCCAACTTTTCAAAGCAGCTGTTACAGAAGGAGGAAAGTAAAGAGAAGGACAACTAAATGTGTAAAGCTTGCACAGTTTTAAGATGCTAGTCCAAGTGTTCACTGATCTGGCAATAATTTATTCACCAACCATTTTCTGATGCCTAATCACCAGGTACCTGATACGGGGTGTTGGGACTGACAAGGGTCAATCTTCCGTGCCTCCAGTGCTTCCCCTGATCTCCCCTTCTAGTCCAGAGCTCGGTGGAGCGTCTCTGGCTGTCTGGGGTTTGAAGGTAAACACTGAGTTCACCCACTCCACTTCCCTCCATGTAGTACCAGAACATGAGGCATTCCCCGCCAGGAGCGGTGGGCTCCATCACTGCAGTCATCACTGCGCCTCTGGACCCCATAGGGTGACGCCACAACTGGGCACTCAGATAATAACCTACACATACAGTACGGAGGAGTTACGGACATGCTGCTTTGGATTTGAGTGTGTGTGTTTGTGCAAACATGTACGTTTGTGTGTAAACTGGTTTATACAGCAAGGGATCACACAAATGTATCTACCAGAATAAATTGATAATTTATTCCAATGCATTATCATCAGGAAACTTTTTAATACTAAAATAATACTTAATTCATCTTGTTCATAAACAATCCTCAGTCTTTCCTCAGTCTATTTTCTTTGATATCACATTTAAGTGGAAGTACTGACCTTTAAAAAAAATAGGATCCTTACAATACCAATTAATGTAATATATGTTTTGCAGGTTTTAACATTCAAGCCAAATTCAGACTGGTGGTGACTTTGACAGATGGACAAATAGAGCCCATTTTATAGTCAACTCAATCCCCCTCCTCCCCACTTTCCTTGTTTGGACGAACACAAAGTCTGAGCAAACATCAAAGGCCGACACGAGATATATCTATAGGCAAAAAAAGACGAGCCAGCTGAGGCTGCATCTCAAAGACTTGCTGACCTTGCTCTGTCCCCAGAGTGTGATCTGTGGCGGGGCCTGAAGAGTTGGCTGGTTGGGACGCCCCAGTGATCCGGCTCCAGGTGAAGTTTGCTGACGGTTGGGGCAGCAGACCACACAGGGAGCCCTGGAAGGTGCACTCTCTCTCAGCCGGACAAGTGCCATTCTCACTGCTGGACACCATTATGTCATCAATGGCTATGCTGCCTTGCTTTCCATCTACCACAGCTTCTATAATAAACTGGAGAATGTCACAAATTATTTGAAGTGTGGGTTTCAAGAGGACAAAGAGTTTAAATTTGTCATGAAACATATTTATTTGAGCTACTGTTTTAAAAGGTCAATAAGAAAAAATATTTATCGAAAGTGCATTGAAGCCAGGGGTGGACTGGTAATCCGGCATACCGAACAAAGGCCTGGTGGGCCGATGAACTTTTGGGGCCGGTGTAAGGTAAATTATTTATTTACATAACTAAAAATGGGCAAATGATTGGCCCATAAGGCGTGGACAGCGGCCCATTGGGTAATTTTATTTCCATTTTTCATTCATTTTCATCCAATCACATCCCTTACTAGCCCCCACTCCCTCCCCCACGGCTTGAGCTGTTTCTTGTGTTATAATTCAATTCAATTCAATTCAAATTAGCTTTATTGGCATGAATGTGTAACAACAATTTTGCCAAAGCATCATACAAACTACATATAAACAATCAACCCCATACATTTCATTAAACAAGTAATTAAAGCGTAAAGTAATTAAAGCGTGTGTGTGTTTGTGTTAGAAAAATTAAAATATATAAAAAATAAAAATAAAATAAATAAATAAAACAGTATGCGTGTTTGTGTGTGTGATAAATTTTTTTTTAAATATAATCAAAATAAGATAAATAAATAAAACAGTAAGCATGTGTGTGTGTGTTAAAAAAAAATTAAAATAAAATGAATAAATGAAACAGTAAGCATGTGTGAGTGTTAAAAATATATATATATAAAACATTTACATAAATAGATAATACCGTAAATGTGTGTGTGTGCATTAATAGACAAAAAAATTAATTAATTGAAAAAAATAATAATAATAATAAAAAAAGAAGTTAGCATCAAATGTAAAAACAAAATTACTAAAATATCAAGCAATCAAAATAATAATAATTTGAAAATTTGTACAATTATTTATCAGTCTGAGTTTCCACTGGTTGTCCTCACTTCGTGGAACGAGGAGACATATTTTGCAGCAATTATTTGACATTTGGGCATTTCTCCCAGTATATAGGAGAGTTTCTGTGAGTCTGATATGAATTTGAATTCGGGGTGTATTTGGGAAATGTTTGCAAAGTGTTTTTGTCTTAGTGTTTTGTATTTGGGGCATGAGGTTAGAAAGTGTAGCTCTGTCTTTAACTGTCCTGTGTCATATTACATCCTGTGTCCTGTTTTATATACAGTCTATGGTTGTGGGCCAAAAAATAAATAAAAATCTTCATACAAAATGCCACCAAAGCGTGAAAATAACCGATATGTTTGCTACTGGGGTTTAAATTTTTTTTTTTAAAGTAGGCCTATTAAAATATATTCTTGTATTGTTGTCATGTACGGAAGCCCTAAGCGGCCATTGAATCAAACATTCTTTAACTCCGTTTTCCTGTGATAACGGGATAGTTTTCTCGAGATAATGAAACAGTAGTTTAACACAATGGTTTAATGGTAATTTCACCATGTGTCACTGGTTATCTGAGGTGGGGTTGGTAGAGCATAGGATGCATGCATACACAGGAGTTGTGGGTTTGATCCACACGGAAGCCCAACATTTTTTTCTTTTGTATCTTTTTCAGAAGCCTCTTCAACAAAGTTCTTATGAAGAGACTGGAGGTAGGTCCACATCCATCAACCATTGATTCATTTCCAGGCAGAGGAAATTCCTGTGCTTCTAATTCAGGGGAATCCATTTAACGTTACACATTTCCTGACGGCTATTTCGGAAACTTTGAAATAGCCGTTGGGAAATGTGTGATTGGATTTCCCTGAATCTCTTCCTAACAACTGTGTTGGAGAGGATAATATAAAACAAACAAAAGAAGAAAAAAGAGTTTTTGAGAGCAGGAGTCAAACCTGCAATCCTTGATTGAAGTCCTACGCTCTACAAACTGAGCTAACCCAACAAACTGTGAAATACTAGCCCTGAATGAAACTAACCTGTTACTAGGTTATTAGACACTTAGACCCTAGTTGCTCCAAAAGCGTGCGGCCTCTGACGTATAAAGCAATTGTAAGTCGCTTTGGATAAAAGCATCAGCTAAATGAGTAAATTATAAAAATGTAATGTTATTATTAGACTTCAATAGGAATAGAAAGAAATTGGTAATTTTTGTTGTAAAAAACACTGAGGAAGAAACAAAAATAAGAGACTTGTATTTGATAAAAGTAATACTAGTTTGAAGTCACATTCTTGGTCATCTTTCTACATGTTGTGATAACTGCTCTTTATTTGCTCTTCACAGGAAATAAGATGTCTTCTCATTCTAAAAAAATCCTCTAATATATCCTTCAATCTTATGATCAGCAGAGGAATATACACAAAAATAATACCTGTATTGGTTTGTCACTGTTGAAGGCAAGATCTGCAAATCTCCATTTGTTTCCCTGGGTGCCACTTCTCATCCATACAACCGTCTCTGCTTCACCAGAACGCTTTGCAATAAACTTCAATGAACCTGATAGTAAGAGAATATCAACATAAGTTGTGAATTAGAGAAATGGATGTTTATGTAACTGTAGTTAGAATGAATCAGAATTATATGGATCTTAAAAAAGTGCCGAAAAGTAGCATTTTTTTTTTGTATATACCTGTGGAATTAATTGTGTTTGGAAGTGTACTGAACAGTGATGCACGTACCAATGCTGCTGCCAAATATGTGGTACAAGAAGCTCACACATATGACTTGACCTGCAGGTCGAGGGAAGCTGATGAGTCTGGCTGTTGATGAATTATGTGGTTTGAGCTCAGTATTTATGAGCATGTAGTAGCCTGCAGAGGAAGAAAAAAGAGCAAAAATTATCAAGTACTCAGTGTGCTTACAAAATTAAATCATATATATGAAAACAAAAATATTTTGTCAATAGTATTTAGTATTAGAGAATCAAAAATGTGATTACATTTTTAAGGAAACTATATGACTGAATATTCACTTCTATCTGATATCTTCATAGTTTTAATAAATTTTATGAATGGTTGCAATTATTAGCTGTAGTTTGTTTTTACTTCTCTGTATTTTGTTTATTGTATCAGGCCTTGGGCCCCTAAACCTTTAGCACCCTTAAAGTTCCAGGATCACTAACTGGACTGTGGTAATCTAATATTGTAAGCACTAAAGGAAAATAAGATTTGAGGGCTTTATTATTTCAGTTTATTTATAAAATCATTGCTAAAACAAAATTCTAGTGTACTGTCAATAGGATATTCACCATTCCCAGTTGGGCCTTCATTATATTTCCCATTACTCCTTTTCCACAAAAGGCTGGCAGTGTAGTCATGGTACCAAGAACAGGTGTCTTTTTGAAAATCACACGAGAGTTGGTCTGACCCTGCAGGGACATCTCCCTCTCCACAGTTGTCAAAGCTGATATCATCCAGCATAACGTCTGCTTCTGATGAAATTGGAGGGCTGAATAAAAACTGCAGCTGTAGAAAGAGAAGTGGTTTATTCTACATTTGTTCAGAAAATCTACAATACATTCAACCTTATGGTGTAACAAGATGAAATAATCAAATTTGTCTTGAGTATGGCTGCACTGACTACATACAAAACATACCTTATATATTTTCTAATCCTTTGTATTGTGTAGCCTAAGCTACAAAGCTGCCAACACACTATACCTACATGAAATGTCCTTTAACCCTAGAAACCAACCAGTACATCCGATTTCTGAATATTACCAGGCACAGGTTTGCTGTTTGGCAGTTTATGGCAACAAAATATATTTAGGATTATGTACTAAAGTGCTTTATTGATGCCCCAGGGAGAAATTAGTAGTTAATATATAGGAAACAGGAACAATAAAGATCAAGAAATAAAAAACGCCTACACCGTGAATCTAAATTAAATTAAAGTCATATACAGATACAAAATATGTAGAATAGTAAAGCTATTAAAAACCTAGGGTCATACCTGGATTTTGAATCTACAATAGGCCTATCCATAATGCTTTGGGGGTGTAAAGAGGACATATAATGTTGTCATGGATTCAGAGAATTAATTAATTGGCACAATTGAAATATGCTAAACCTATTAGAAGTTAATTTGGCACTGAAGAAAACTTAAAAATGCTCAGGCAAGCTCTGCAGTGGTAAGAAGAGTCTTTTTTCCCCTTTGATTTCTAAGCAGATTTATGGGTGTTTATTTGCAAGTTTATTTATCGGTGAATAATATTGAACAAAAGTGTGGGTCACACTGAATCAAAAAATTTGCGAACTGTATTGTATCTTTGTGCTCATATTTGACTGAGTTACTGTATGACTCTATGAAGGAGTAACATTTTTTAAGCAAGTTGTGGCAATTGAGTGCTACGGATTTTAAAAGTACCTTGATGGCCTCAATGAGCTGTGTGTCACTGCTGCTGCTCCAACTGTTGCAGGCCAAACTTTAAAACCTAACTTTACTTTCATGCACCTGTCTCTTTCACCTCACACTGTATCTTTGTCTCACTTCTCTCCCTCCACGTCCCCTTGCCTGACAATATGAAAACCCCTGCTCAAGAAAATACATTTAAATGTATTACTATGTCTGTACTATACATACTGGGTATTTCACTTACCTTGTATCCTCCCGGCTGATTACCGATGAAGACTGTGGCATTCCCCCAACTGTCTGTCGTACTTTTAGAAATCTCAACCAAGTCTTGCACAGTTCTGCCTCTGACCATTCTTAGCTTAAGGGTTGATGACGAGTACGATGACTTATCATAAATATGGTACCAGAAGCTGAAACACATTGACAGTCAAATTACAAAAACAGGCAACAGCTCGCAGAAGGTAGTGAAATAATTTTATAATGCACCCTCAGTCAAGGACATATCTAATTAAAACACATATCTTAACAAAAGAAATCTGGACAGAGTATTTATAGTACCTGATCTCGCATCCCAGAGCTGCGAGGTTGTCTACAGACAACTCCAATCTAGCCGTTGAAAATATGCTACCGTCTTGTTTTCCATCTATATGCATGACATGTCCTGTATGCAGCAGACAAATATCCAATAATAAGATGATTGTCAAAGGCTAAATATAACCAAACATTTTTTATCACAGATTTAAAATGTCACTGTAAATTAATTATCAACCAAGTAATGACAAGAATGGAACATGACAGTAGGTTAATATTTACCCAAGGGACTTCCTGTGGTATGGTCCAGTCCAGGTATTGAGGTGATGTTTGCCACCTGCCATCTCCAGTGGTAGGACATATCATCACTGGTGTCATACCAACCACAGGCATGATGCTCAAAGTCACATGAGCCTTAACAAGGAGGGGGCAACACAGTGAATAAATGGGAGACAGACACATTTTATTAAATAACCTCAAAGCTTTCTTGTTCCCGGTGTCATGTTGTTTATTCTGTGTTATTGAACTATTTTTTTGTGCATTTAAAAGACATGTCATACCTTCACAAATACTAAATTCCAAGTTAAAATTGTTAAGTGATAATGTTCTTTGCTGACTTAATGAAAAGAACTTAAATTAGACCTGAGTTGAAAATATTTTCCTGAACTGTAAGCATACCACAAAACTCCTCGTCCGAGCCATCTTCACAGTCCTTCTTAAAATCACAAACACGTCCAGCAGAAAGATGTTCTCCAGATGTACAATTGAACTCACCATCAGAAGACACAATGACCAGCAATACTGTAAAGAGTGTTTCATTACAAAGAGACAAAGAATCTTTGGATTCCATTACGGTAACGGTTGGCAATCGGACGATTTTAGATCAAGATGATGATCTAAGGCGTCTACACTCTACTTTTCAGGTGAATGGCAGAGATTGCAGTATAGGACTAGCATCCACAATTTAATCGTTCAATTCATTTTTATGGAAACAATTTGCACCAAAGTATTATTGACTCAGATTTACAGGCATAATAAACAAGAGAGACAGGAAAACAAGCAGTGACTCTCTACCTTTTAAGCGGTCATAAAGTCAGAATATGTGTGTCTGTTCCTCAATTATTTATATTCCCTTAGGCTGTAAGGGTCCACTGATCAAAACAATCAAAACGTTTTTCATAAAAATTATTTAAATAAAGTAGGTGAAGTAAGTGAAATTACAATGCTAAACTTTGGCTTTCAAAATTTATAAGGTAGTCAACCCTCTCTCTCTCTCTCCTTCACTCTCTCTAAATGTGATACAACATTCATACTAGTTGAAATAAACTTCATAAATTTGATTGTAGCCTTTTTCCCACATTTGCTGGGCAAGAGTTTTGTGGGAAAGGAATTAATGGCCTGCCCAATTTAGAAACCTGTCCCAAATATAGGCAGGTTGAGTTCAATCGGGCTATTAATTTAAGTCTTACGATATGTTCTTTTTGCTTCTGTTCATAGCTTCAACTTCAGCTTAAACTCAGGTTTTAATCACAATTTTTAGTGGCGCAAATGGAGAAATTTCCAGGAGATTTCAATTCTGGCTATAGTCCACAGGGTATTTCAAAAAATATTGAAATTTGGATTGTGGTTTGGGATATTATTTTTTGGCCAATCTTTCTTTTTCATTGCTAAAACATCTCAAAGCTGCCAGATAACACAGACGGTGTATAGACATTCCACAATCACCTGCCCGTTTTCCATCACCACTGACATTGCACAACTTGTCATTCTGTAGTTTATCTGAGTGAAAACTGTCATCTTTGCACTCCAGTATGCACATAAAATCATGTACTCTACCTTAAACAGTGATACAGAAAGGTGCATAATATTTAGCTATGAGGTATACTTACCTGGCAGCAGAACAAATACTTGCTTCATGTCTGGAGAAAAATGACACATGGCAAGAAAATCCAAAGAAACATAAATATGCTTAAAGCATCATCACTACATCAGCATATCCTCTGATTAACAGTTTGGAGTGCAACTTTTATTACAACAAATGAGCTAAGGACGTGAGGCCTTATCGGTAAACTCTTGCCTAAAGTCCAGAGTCTAATCAGTAACCTGCATTACATTTCTGTCGTTTGACTTTAGGACTCTCATTGCATAGCTCATTTCTGTTAATTTAACAAAGCAGAGCTCTAGCCCTATAACTATCTAATGTTATATACTGTAGATGCTCCATGACAGTACAGAAGCAGATTTTTGTAGCCTTTGTGTTGGGAAATATTTATATATGGACAAACTTTGACCTTCACTCAATAAGCATCAAACTCATGATGAAGAGAATATTATTTCAAAGTGTACAGAGGAGAATCACTTTGGATTTTATTCTCATAAAAATTAGACTTTTTTGTAAATTCAAACATATTGCACTGCCTAAAAGTATCTTATGAATTTACCACAAATATTTATATTAACACTAAGGTGGGGAAGCTCTCATTTCTGTAATGAAGTCAAATGAGTCCTTTACTCTGTGGAGTAAATATGTGATAATGGCCAAGCTTTACTGGGTCTTATCTGACTTTCCAACTGGGAGATAAAAAATACCAGGAAAATTAGATACTCCACGTTCTAGTTTCAGTGTGCGAGGTCAACAAGTTGCTTATTCTGCAAAACAGTCAGAGAAACAGCAATTCATTTTAACTTTGTTGATCAACGAACAAACAACTCTGGGTTGTATAGTAGTACAGCAACGACTTTTGAAGGGCTCAAAACCTAGAATAGTCTTGACCAAAAAACACTACAAACCAGTATGCATGCTCCTGAACTGTTCAGGTTAAAGAGTTAGGAAAATGTCTAATGTTTATAACATTGGGTTAAATGTGCTTGTGAAGCTTTGGAAGACACAACAACAAAGGTTGCTACTTTTCTGTCCATTCAATAACTGTTTGTTTCCTCTACAGGAGCTGTAAAATTAACTTCTCTTAAAGGTGTCAGGTCACACGGTTTGCAGGCGTCCGGTCAATAAAACTGACAATGACATCATCTCATAAAAAGCAGGCTATTAAAATGCCTGAGCAAAGGTTTTTGTATCGTCAGGAAACCATGGACCAAAGGAGCAGAATCAGTGATAACTAAGTTAATGGGAAAGAGGGAGAAAAGTCACACACAGACACACACACACACACACACACAGACTGCCTTCCATTGTTTGCACCATTTTGGTTTGTTTGGTTGCATTAGATTTTTTTTGTCCATGGATGTGACAAATTAGAAGCTCGTCCAGGAGAGTCTCTGGGTCCTGGATTAACCATTTTGGTTAAGTGAAGTGGTAATTTGTCCCCGTTTTAAGCAGTTGTTACCCCCTGTGGAGCTTTGTCAATTAGTTTGTAATTATTTTGTGTTTGGCAAGTCTCCTAAAGTGTCGGGTTGTCTACTTGTTAAAATAGAGATTTTGAATTATACATTCGGAGGGGGGAAATAGCTATATTCCAGTCTTTTTCCATTTGTATTGATAAATTAATTAATTCATTAATTAATTGGTTGTTTTTTATAGTTTTAGGGGTGAATCTAGTTGCTATAGATTTTGCACATAAAGCTTTGACAGCAAGCTCCAATAGTGAGCTTGAAAGTGAGTGAAAGTGGGTAGTGCTTTTAGCTGGTGAACACATCTGTGGCATTCTGAAGACAACAGCAGTCCACTTTTTGTCCAATCCTTAACCAGGTTGTGACACCTTGTAAACACGGTGAAGATTAAGCAATTGTAGCTACTGTAATTTAATATCCATTTTTATTATTAGACCAACTTGGGAGTGACACTTATGTTTGGAGTTTATTTGCAATAATAACTTAAAACAAGGAGCTACACCAATATAAAACTCCACCAGACCTGCTTACAAGCTTTTTATAAACAATCACTGCAGTCACTGAGGTTCATACTTCAGCACAGTCCTCAGCCCCAAAAAGGAGAATAACCAAAGAGGAAGTGAAAATACCAAATGCTATGATAGATGTTAAGGCAGAGTGGGAGAACAAACCTCAACATCTGAATGCCTCTGCCCCAAAACAGGATATTGTGTTGCTACACTCTGGATGCACAAGATTTTCTCCTTATCAGCAACAGTACAATATCACTCTGCTCTAATAACTTCTGCCTCTTTACAGCTATCATCATCAGCTAGCATTTCTAGAGTGCAGACTGTGAGTGAATTACTGACTTTTAGCCCCCTTTTTCATGAAAGCATGCACTGGTGCAGAAGTTGTTCATTTCCTGAGCAATGTGTTTCCATGCATCACTTTCTTAATCAAGCCCCAGTAGCTCCTTAAAGTAATACAATAACAGTACATTATCATGTGGTATCATGTGGATTTTATCAGACAGATTGATAGATTAATCCATGATACATAAGTAATCAACACAGATGAAACTAAATAATAATATATAATCGTGCTATCACTGAACAGAGAACTATACAGTGCTTGCTGCAATAAGCCTGCAAACGTATCTTCCGTATCTTCTCTTTAAATGTTTATTCTCTCTCTTTTTGTTCTCTTTTTTTTACTTCAAAGTGAAATGAAAAGTCAGCTCTTGCCAGTGTCAGAGTGGGCAGGTCCTGAGTCCTTGCAGACACCAGTGGCAGACATCAGAAATGTGCATCTAAGTCTACGAGGGTGAAAGCTTGATGGGAACATTGACTCTGATGAGTCATGTTAAGCATAAATCTCTTACGCATCATTTATTTTTCCAGAACAGGAAGTGAATGGGGCCACTTTTTGCCATTTGTGGAGAGTGACATCCGGATGAGCAAGTAAGTGTGTGTTGGTGTTTTTGTGTAGGTCGCCCCTACTTCCCTCCCAACCCCCCCTTTTTACCAATAGCAAAATGTTGAAATGTGCCAATCTGAAACATGACACTTTCTCAATGAAAAGAAGAAAAAAAACCTTGTGTCATTGGTATTAAGATTCCCTCCTTTTCACGTTCATGCTCACAAGTCTCCTGCTTGCAATGCATGGACAATGTCTGCTGCTCTGAGACTTATCAGAAGAATGCTGCCCTTAAGGATAACTTTAGCAGCCCTTGTGCTATTCATCTCAACATGTCAATGTTCAACAGCAAATGGTACAGTATGCATTTATCAAGCTTTCTTATGTGACAGATTCTGTATGTTAGTGTACTGTTACAGGTAAGTCTGTGAGCTGTCACTATGTCTTGGTACTGATGTAATTATCAGCAAGCTTCATACATTTGTTTAGATAAGATTAATTTAAAAAAAAAAACATTTTAATTGGAAATACATAATTGAAACAGCTTTTTCTTCTCTGCAGATTCCCCATTCTCACTTATAAACAAGGCCACTGGTTTCTGTTTGGTGAAAAGGTCATCTCGCTGCCTCGACATGCGCTGGACGACCGGTGATCGGCTTTTTGTCACCTCAAGTAAAAAGTGCCTGGGAGCGCAGGGCAAAAGTCT